AAAGACATGGATATTGTGGCCACAGAGTCAGAAACCATACCTTTTGTATCTGTAATGAATAGTGACGTGTTTCTTGCCATGATAGGTCATCAGTTAGTAGGTACTGTACTATAGCTGACCAGTTTACAGGCTTGTGTTGTGACCTCTGGTGTAAATGAATTGTTTTCACTGACCACTGAATATTTTCATCAACATTTCTGTGGTGTCATTGTTGATAAATGTTCAGTGTCTCCTATAAATACACACATATACAAATAGAAAGGTGTGGACAACTGACCTTAGCTGACTTTGGCTCTCTTTGTGAAGAGCTGGCAGAATAAAGTGCAGTCCAGTCATGTAGTTTGATGTCAAGCTGCTGAAGTACTGGCCAGTGTCCAAAGGCTATTCAGAGAGAAAGAGGGACACTGACAGATGGACGGGAGGGAAGAGAGAGGATGGAAGAAAAACTGAGGTTAAGACAATTAGTTGAGTGAGGCAAATTGAAAGAGTGAAGTAGGATGAATGGACAGATGGACAGAGAGAGAGAATGAAGGGGCAGACGCAGAGGTAGACAAACAGGATGAACTTCTGTAGCATCATAACATGTTTTAATCTTCAGCGTCTCTTTTTTGGCGGTTTCCTCCTCCGTTTCCCCTTTCCTGCCTTCCTTCCCTCCTCTCTGTGCTATCTTTGTCTGTGTCCTCACTTCATGGACAGCAGGGGTTTTGAAACTTTCTCAGCCTGCACTCTCCTCTTACCTCAGGAGCCTAGAGAGTCCTTTAAGTGTGTCACCGCTCACTTGATGTCACCACTTGTCATACATCTGACCCACTTGGGTCCAGACCAGTAAACCAGTGACAATAAAAAGGTGCTCTTGTATTGACAGGAAAAAAAAAAGGTCTTCTGAGCTGTCAGCGGTCTGTCAGGTGGTTGGTTGAGAGATACTTGTGTTTGGTGCTAAAACTCTTACTGGGTCTGTTGTATAAGCCTTTTAGAAAGAAACTGACTGCAAGGTGAACCATTATCCCCATACACAATGGAGACAAAGAACTAGGCTTATATAACTTTCAGAGCTGAAATACTTCAACAATAATTCAGTTGTCCAATCAGCTTGTCTTTTATGACTTATGATTAAATACAGTGGACAATTAAAACAAACATGTAATTGCTGTCAATATAATACTTTAGTAAATGTTAAAACCTTCTGGGAAACAATATCTCTGCTGTGATTTGAGTAACAGCCTGCTGACCTTAAATGACTGGTCCTTTTTTCAATAACCTGCCCTGTCTTTACACTTGATGACACCTGCACCTGCTCAGCCATAAAACCTGTCAAGATTCAAAATCAGGTAAACAACTTCTGAGGTCACTTTTAATGTCAGATCACGATATGCTGTCCTTATTAAATGGTCAAAATGAGCAGGTAGACGATGTAGATAATTTCTTTTTCCACTAGTCATTTCCTCCTTTTCGCACTCATAGATCAGACCTGACATTGGTTTTCACATGAAATGTCCCTCACAGGAGACTTGTCTTGTCTTTTTGTATTTTATGTGTCTCTGATATTACTTTACACTGCTGTATGCTCACTCTAAAAGGCATAATTCACCAGGAGTGTGTGTGGAACATACAGTAGTGTAACAGAGAGTGCTACCCTGCAGAATAGATTTGTGTGTATTGCATAAGAGCTTCAGTCTCTATCTTTTATTTTTCCATCTGGTTCTTTTTTGTTTACCCCACCTCCCATCATCCTTTTCACAGCAGTAATAATAACTGATCTGATGTCACAGTTGCCATGGCAGCTGTGTGATGACTTGAATCTGCTTGAATGGGCCTGGTCGTCCTGTGGCTGACTTCAGTCGCAGAGACAAAACAGAACTAAACTGGACCAAAATGAACTGTACAGAATATATTATATTAGCAAAGAATAGAATACACTTTATATGAATTACATAGCATAGATTATAATTTAAATGGATTACTACACCAGAATAGAACTAAATTGATCAGGGCAGATATTGCATGGATTAGGATCATATACTATAGATTATGCAAACTAGCCTTTAGTATAAAGCAGTATTCAAAACTATATGTTAAAGTTGTTTACAGAAGAATATATATTCATAGTAGAGTTGTAGTGGTACTGTAGTGATGATGGTACGTATGTGATTCTGATTCACTTAACAAATTGCCAACTTGATTATCTATGAATGAGCCTGTTTTAAATTAAAACTGCCGTGTCTCTTTATTGAATGTTTTACACTCGAGGTCTTTACTGTGAAAAGGACCCGTGACTGTCTTACCTGACTCAAAAACCAATCCAATATTAAAAAAAAAACAATCAAGTAGTTTGATGATAAAATAGTACTTTTAACTTTATCTTGGTTAGATTCAAAAAAGTCTGTGCTCTTAAAACTGGCAGTTTAAAGGCTTTAGGGTGTAACCTTTTTTAATCCATGGGCGGGATATAATATTCATGTTTTCATTAGTGTATAATCACTGAGCCATTTGTATCTAAAGATGCCGCCATGTTGAACTGCCATGTTTCTACAGTAGCCCAGACTGGACAAACCAATCACTGGTTGTAGATAGGGTCTTTTGCGGTTTTCACGAGTTTTGCTGCTGTAGTCTCTCCTACACTTCACAGCCCGTTCTCATTCCCAGGTCGTCAAATACAGACGCCAGCGGTGTTCAGTTGGTTGTAATCTAAACTTGTGAAATTCCTAATTGCCACTAAATCCTACACACTGGCCCTTTAAGTTGAGAAAAATGTTCACAGAAGGTTTTCTATTGTAAACCGTGATTATGAGGTTGTTGCTGATTTAAAGACATAAACAACAGGCAGCCACAGACAACAGCATCTATTATTCAGTCCTGATGTGCTGAAGCAACACAGTCAGTGTGTTTGGGTTCAACACAACCATGTACTTACCATCTGTCAGCCTCAAATACCAGCTTCACCCATACAACTGTATCTTGTTTCTCTCTCTCTCTCACACTCACACACTCACCACACACACACACACACACACACACACACACACACACACACACACACACACACACACACACACACACACACACACACACCAGCACATGTAATCACAATGACTGAGGTAACACGATTGTTGCAAACCACCATTACTACTAATCTGCTTCTCTGTATTGAAATCCTATATCTTATGACCGGTCCAGTTCACACTCTGGCCAATAGAGTGTTTATAATGCAGAGTGTATGTTAAGCTGTTAAGCTGACCTCTCTGTTCTTAACTCTGGCACACTGTTAAAAACTGTGGACCTACATTGAGCAGATTTAGGCCACCTATCTGGGTCTGGAACACATCAGGATCACCATTAGAACTACAGAGACGAGGAAGCTCGTACTGGATCTCTGTAACCTGGGAGGAAATTAAAATGTAGTTCTATGCATTTAGTCATCTAGTCTATTAAAAAAATTTAATTGGCAACAATTTTGAAATTTGAATGTTTTAAATCACTTATTAATCAAAAAAATGATCTTGTTCAACTTCTCAAATGTGAGGATTTTCTGCTTTCTCTGCTTTATAATTGTAAATTGAATATTTCTGGGTTTTGGACTGAGCAATACGAAGACATCATAGTTACTTGCAGAAATTCATAATTATGTTAATGTATGTTATATTATTTTTTTTTAATGACAGTTTTGCAAAAGTTGAACAAACTTGGGTTAGTGTGACAGTGAGCTTTGACCCGGATTATATTTATGTACACATTGCTAACTTCATGTTGGTTCTTTCTGTGATTTGTAAGCCAAGGTGGGCTGTTACACTGAGGGTTCTGACTTATTGACTGTTGATTGCTGTGTGCCTGTGGTATTTGGTTCAGTGGGGCAGTGGATGTAGAGCTGTTGCATAACTATTATTATTAAACCTGCTGTTGATGGTGTGGAGGTGTTAAAGGGGCAGCTTGATGAAAATAACCTAAATCCCTTTTATGGAGAGATATTAATACTTAAAATTAATAAATGTAAATAATAACCAAAGAAATAATACGCTCTGTATAACATCTAACTTCAGTTCTGATAATACAGGATTATATTATCCAGAATAATCATTTCATTTCAGTCTGTGCACTTTGTCAGAGTAATAGTTTAATATCACGTCTGTCCACCATAAGCAGCATGACATTACAAACCAGGTGTTACCACAGGTAGAGGTAGGAGGAGATAGTGTGGAATGGAGCTGCAACTAATGATAACTTTTATTATTGATTACTTGGCCATCTATTTTCTCTTTTCAAAAGTCCATTTTGTCATTCAAACTGCTTGTTTTGTTTTGTCCATATATATGATTGTGGTAATCTATAGACTGATTTTTCTGTTACTTGACTGATTGATTAATCAGGTAATTGTGTCAGGTTCTCTGTGGGGTCCAGGACTTTGTTGCTAGCTGGATAATTGGCTGGTTTGCTGGTTGACTGGCTTTTGGGGATGTTAAGTTGCCTCACTAACTGGTCTAATTATAGTCCTACTGGAACATTAGCATAAACAAACAGACAGGTATCTGTGTGTGTGTGTGTGTGTGTGTGTGTGTGTGTGTGTGTGTGTGTGTGTGTGTGCATACAACAGTCATAAATCTCCTGAGCAGACACATGGTAGATCAGATATAGGTCAGTGTATATTTCTGTGAGGGTATCTGCATCTTCTGGGTTACTTTAGTTTAAGCAGGGCACAGGAACGAAACTAGGACTTCACTGCCACACACACACACACACACACACACACACACACACACACACACACACACACACACACACACACACACACACACACACAGAGTCTTGCTGAGTCTAGTGTTCCTATAAATAAGTTTTGAATTAAATCAAACTTTCTCCTCTCCCTCTAGGTTAAGGGAGGGAGTGGTCCTGCCTTTTTTCACTCTATCCTCTCTCTCTCCTGTCCCTTCCTCATCCTCCTCTTCTCCCCCCCTCTCTCTCTCCCACTGTCACTCTCTCTCTCACTCTCTCTCTCTCTCTCTCTGTGATGCCGGGCTGTGGGTGAGTGTACGCCCGTGACCAGACTGAAGCTGGGGAAGCTAAAGGTGGTGCGGCGGCAGCTGCTGCAAAGGTACAGAACAATACACTATCACCAGTGATGATACTTACAGCTCAATTTAAAGAAAGTTGATTTTCTGATATGTATAATGGCTTTTACAGACATTCTGATAACTATCATAATGAATGACTTTGCTCACATTAATGGTTGCTGTGGAAACTGCTGCAGTAACTATGAAGATACATAGCAGTCATCAGTTATGTATGCATTTGAAGCCAGCACTCGTATTAGTGACTGCAGCCACAGCTGTCTCTCAAACAAACAGACACAAAGCTTCTTGGTATCGCTATTTTGCAGCATAGATTGCAGCCACACACAGACGTTGAATCTGGCTGCACAAAATAAACACAACTGGGGGAGTATTGTAGTTTGGTCCAGGAACTCCGTGTGGATAGCGTCTCTTTCAGAGATATTTCAGGCTGACTGTGGAGCTGTTTGACTGGTCTGACCACCTGATTGGCCACACAATGTGATGTCGGGTTGTGTTTTTCCAAAAGGAAAAACCTCCGAGGTCGCTGTGTTTTTTGCAGACTCGCTTGCGGCCCCCACCAGCACAGCCCAAGAGGGTTGTTTTCACTGAAGTGCCTGGTTTGGTCTGAATCGGCCCTAATACAGTGTAGTTAAATAGAATTTCATTTGTTTTAAAGCATCTGCATTTGTTTTAAATTACATTGCAAAAACAAAAACCCAGCAGCAATATCTCTTTCCAAACAACGTCCTGGTTACTCAAGATGATCTACAAACTTTGCTGTGTAGTCTTTTCATGGAGAACTGCTTGTTCTGACGTAGGACACCCTCCTGTCTCAGCACAGAAGGATGAGTCACAGCACGTCTTTCTGTACAGAGATAGCCTGAATGCATCATCTAAAGAGGGATATTGGTATGTCTACTATATGCTTATGAACATAGTGATAGAGGTGTGCTTTTGTGGCATCGTATTAAATCTGATTATTGAATCTGAACCCTTTTGGATCTCTTATCAAATCATCTTTGATTCACATTTTTGTGCCTACATTTAAAAATAACTAAAACTCAAAAATTCAACTAAGATCTGTACATTGCATTGACTGCGAAGACAGATGCACAATTTTGAGTGGAAGCCTAATTAATGTTGACAGCCTGTAAATTAGGGCTGATTAGTCGATTTATCAATTTATTGATTAGTTCTTTGGTCCATAAAATGTCAGAAAATGGTGAAAGATGTTGATCACTGTTTTCCAAAACCCAAGGTGAAGTCCTCAAATGTCTTGTGTTGTCTTTGATGGACAAAACAAGACATTCAGTTTACTAAAATCAGACAATTTGGACATTTTTTCTTATTAAATTACTCAAAATTGAATATAATACAACTAATCTATTAATAGACTATTAGATAGACTTGCAGCTCTACAGTAGATGCAACCTGATAATGAAATGAATTAATGAAATGAACCACACCATCAATGATAGTCAGTCAGCACTGGCTAAAACTTAGAAGCTGCTACCTGAATGTTTTTCACATTGATTTTCATATAGTAAGGCAAGATAAAATGTTTTATAGCAGATTTTTTTGCCTCAGAGTTTAGTGAATCTGGGTATTTTATCAACCAGATCTAGCTATCAGAATCTCAACCTTTACACCAACGGTTGCTCAATGTCATAATTTATTTAGTTTCCAATGTCCCACACCCAGCTCTAATAAAACAGGCTCCTCTAGAAAGGTCTAGACAGTTGTTTTATCTTTAGAATCTATAAAATGTTCAGTTTTTAAAGGTTTGTCAATCAGGTAATATGTTTCTCAATGTCTTTTTAAATGAACCAAATGTTGTTTTTCTTTTTCAAAATGTTATGTTAATAATGTTTTGGGCACAGGTTTCAGTTTATTCAGATGAATGTCCGTTCATTGTAAAATTCCTAATTAACTGTACCAGGTATGAACACCAGCCGTTTGTCTCCTGCCTGGCCGGCCTCTATGGTTGCCAATGGAGACGATACCAGAGAGCCCGAGCGCAGCCAGGAGAGTGCTGCTGCAGCAAGGTAAACACACACACACACACACACACACACACACACACACACACACACACACACACATACACATACACACACACACACACACATACACACACACACACACACACACACACACACACACTGCGCCATCAATAAGGAGTGAGTTGAGAGTGGTTAGTTTGCTGATTGTGCAGAGAGTATTGATTACCCTGTCAGTTTCCTCTGTCCGGCCTGCTGACTCCAACAGTCAGTTACTGCTTTTCTCTGAAAAAATATCTGCACACATATACTCTGTCAGCTCATATCAAAATATACTGCTTCCATATGCACTCGCTAATATGATTGACTTCCTCTCTATCTGCCAGATTGTGCAGCATCAGGGAGTTGCTGTTGCTTCCCTAAATGTATGACTAAAAATCCTGTTAACACTTTAAACCTTGAAACATCATAAACACAGCCTCATTAAGCTTTATATTTAAATAAGAAGATTTAGTAGTTGATCATTGATCAGGTAAGTGAGTTTAATGACTTTCTTTTGCTAGAAGTGGGGTTGTTAAGACAATACATGACCTCTGTGCATGGGTTACAGGTGGAGTGTGGCAGTTTTGGCCTCCTGATCCTCACCTTCTTCCTGAGTTTTTTATTCCTCTATTTCTGGTGTGAGGCTCAGAACGACTACAACGACTTCGACTGGTGGGTCACAGACATCGAATATGTGTACTGTACTATAAACTGAACCAACCCATCATTCAGATTTGATTCACAACATAAAGCACACTGTATGTGATGGCTGTTTTTCTTGTGCCTCTTCAGGTTTAACTTTGGGACTCTGGGTTTCTGGTTTCCCTGGTCGCTGGTCCTGCTGGTCGTTGCTGCAGCTCTCTTCACATACATCGCCCTGCTATTGGTATGCATTCTGATATGATTTCAGCCCGTCTTGCACAGGGGTAGAATATAATATGGAATCAACAAAACAAAAAGAAGCAAACCAAAAACACATCTCTAGTGTACTCAGAGGTCGGATTATTCACTCCTTGCAGCTCAGTCACAGAGGTAGGGAGAGTTGTTTTTAGATCGATGGTTGCCATTTCAAACCCCAAACCTCTGGGTGTATATTAATCATCCATTCTTTACAGCTACTGTAGTGTTGTTGAACAGGACACCTGACCTTACTGCTGCTGTTCTAACCACAGACCAGAAGTAGTTCACCACAAGGTGTCTACAAGTTCTTAACAAATCTGAAATCCAATAAATATGATTTTGACAGGTCTTTTTATTTTTATTGGATTAATGACATTATCATAACTTGTATAAAACTGCATTTTTCAGTGTGTTTTGGGGGAAAATGTTACTGTTAATACTTATTTTGCCAGTATGGATGTGAAATAGGTTATTTTAAGTTTTCTCATCAAACTAGTGCTTGAAACAATGTGTTCCACTGCAAGTGCACATTAGGCCCTCGGCGTCCCCGGCACCGTGTGACATTTAGAAACTTGTCCGCTTGCCTCAGGTGACAAATATCATTAAAGACTTAATATATAATCTAAAAGGATGGACATGGGTTAAGTAAAGGAAAAATCTGCATCAACAGAATTTATTTCCTCCTTAGAAAAATTTGAGGAAAATAACTTTGACAATATTTTCAGCAGTGACGAGATAAGGTTCAATAAGTTCTTCTTAGATCTGCTAAGGCACACAAAGACAAGGATTTGATGTATTGTCATTTAACAATATTCAGGTTATGTCCAGCACAACTTTTTTGTGGATAAATTAAGGTTTCAAATGAAGCCTTGAAGCAGCTTTATCTAACGATTATTAATGAATATCTAAACGTTGTTCAGGTGCTGGCGGTGTGTCTGCTCTCTGAGGGTCAGAGACTGTACCTTCACTGGAGCCACAAGGTATCACACACAGAGAATACTTGAACACATACACTCTTTGTATTTTTGTTATAATTAGATGTGATAAGTTGTGTTTTTTCATCCTCCTGTGTTTGTGTCAGACCGGCATCGTGGTGACATTGGTGTTCTCCGTCACAGCCACCGCCATCCTGTCTGATCTCTGGAGCAAAGAATGGAAGACTCTCCTTCTCTCCCTGCAGGTTAGTTAGTCTTGACACTCCAGTCAGGTTTTTATCATTTATCAAACACTGTATTAATGACAGTTAATACTATGTGTATGTGTATGTACAGACTGTACTGACATCTGGACTGTCTTTCTCTTCCTGTGTTTAACCTTAGGTGACAGCGCCTTTCCTCCATGTGGCTGCAGTCTCACTAATGGCAATTCTCTCATGGCCAATAGCGTTGCACTTCTTCCGCATGAACAAGAGAGGTAAGCAAGCTCAAATCAGCTTTGAAACTAACATTGGAAGAGAGGAGGATCTCTGAATGAGATGCATCTTATTAAACATTTAATCTGTTTAGGTTTTGCTGTCAATATGTAATTCTTTGTGGAAATTAAACAGGACAGCAAGTATACAGTTGGTATATACTTGGTTAGCTGAAGTTAAACAAAACACAACATTTTAGAGTAATTATTGTAACATAAATAATAATTATTATTATTTGAAACCTGTTTAGTACTGTACTGTAACACAGGATGTGTACTGTAATGTTAGCTAACTCACCTAGCACCACTGTGATAGCCAAATATTCAGTGTGTGTAGTTCGTTAGAAAGAATATAGTTCCTACATGAACCTTTTGAATGTAGTTTTTTGGCACTTTGAGCACCGGATGCTGATTGCCATCTGGTTCCATTATTATGGAGAGAAGGCAGACATCTCCAAAACTCAGTAACTCGCACTCAAACAATCTAGATGGATAAATAGCCCTACAGGTAAGTTTTACTGATCAATTTAATTTACTCTTTGCCACAATCCAGACCCATAAACATCTTCGGCAGTTCCTTCAGCACCCATTTTACACCAAAATACTTGATGTTTTGAATGTTTAAAGAGAAAGCACACCCAGGCTGTAATTCACAGCAGTAACTGGAGGGAAGAGTGGGCTGAAGGACCTTGTTGAAATGACATATTGGCTGATTGCTGGCAGACAGTGAAGGGTTTTGGCTCTGAAAGCTTCAGTTGTAGTAGTACTGTGCTGCTCCGCCCACCAGGAATAAAGCTATTCTGAAATCAAACACACCCCTCAGCAATGTGACGCACTTGTCTGGCATGGATTATACAGCTGTAGACCTCCCTGCCATCCTTCTTTGTCTCCTTCTACTTCCTCTTAACAGAAAATCAATGTCTCATTTTCCTCTCAATTTTGGTCTCTTGTCTTTCTCTCTCTCCTTCAGACTGCTTTCATTCACACGTGTTTTTTGGTCCCTTGATCATTCTGACGTTGTTTCTTACCTTCTCTGTCCCTTTGTGCCGTTTCTTTTTACTCCTCTTTGGGTCACTCTGACGGTCTTGCATTGTGTCTGATTGGCTTTTCCTCCCCACTGAATGGCTTTGACCTCTATGTCTCTCTGCGTCTCTCTTCTCTCTTTGGTCTCCATGGGTACTGGGTCCCTGGTTGCCATGGTGATTCAGCGGGTAGAGTGATGCTGAGTCATGTCGGGGGTCTCTCCTGGCAAGATATAAGTAAGAGAGAGAGACTTGCCTAAGCACAGGGTGTAATATAGCACTCCTCTGTTCTACTATGTTGAGATGAACACCCACCCAAGTCTGGATGTGAAAGGAAAGAGCTTATGGGTTAGCTTTGTAGTTTTATTGAATTCAATGCAAACACTAAAGAGAGCAGACATGAGAGAGGAGGGATGCTTGGTTAAGATGAAAACAGTTTAACAGCTTTAAGATTATAAAAATAAAAATAAATACAAAGATTATACATGCCACATGTAATGAGTCTGGCCAGTCAGAAAGAAGCACACAAAGGAGTAAATACAAAGGGAAAAAAGACTAAATGAGACGACTAGAGTCCAAGGCAATGGGCCAAATCTGACAGTCGACATGGACTGTACCCAACCGTAACAGTATGGAGCCTGACAAAGAGCACCTGTTGGCATTTTCAACCGAGCAGGGCTTCTGTTTTCCTCCTGTTAGGGCTCTGGTGACCTACAGTAGGGCGGGGAAAGTCAAAATAACTATACAGTAGTATGCTGATTAAAGAGAGTTAACATTTTTCACACTGTCATTGATTTATTTCATTTAACATTATTGTTAGTGACAATAATCTGAGCCAAAATGAGTCCTCCTTGTTCTCTCACCCTGCGTTTTAGTCATATAAGCAAATAAGCATGTAGCTTTATAAGTTAGCAACATGGAAAATACCTCCCTACTGCAGTCAAAGGATAATCTCCCCTAAAAAAATACAAATAATAATGCCAATAATTTTGTTCAAAATACTTTTATAAAAGACCTAATTTGGTCTGCCTTCCCAGACAGATTTGCTTCCGAACCAGACAGCCGTCCTTCTACCTGCCCATATGGTTGCTGTTTAGTACCAGACCACCATGTTGATCCTATCAGGAAAGATTTACTGTAAATAATCCTTACAGTTCCAGTTTCTACACCAGCAAACTCCTATAACCCTTAACTGGGCCATATTTAGAGGCTGAAATGTTTATCTGTTGTACTGCAGATGAATTTAACCACGATGTGATGCATAGATTTCATAAACTCATGTCAACCTGATACCTCAGAAATCACACTTAAGGATGATAAACTTTATACTATCCGACCTATAAATAGAGCCTCACTAATGATGTTGGCTGAAAACTGTGGGTCAAGACCCAAAATGGCTTGTACTTTTAGAGTAGTGGTTCTTTCTTACTTTAGATTGCATCCCTTCTATGGAATTTTTATCAACATGCATATATGTACACATGTACTTTTAGATATGATATTATGTTATATTCATGTCAAACACTGTTTTCAAAATGGTGATTTAGATATTTACCACTTTTTTGTTTGATAATGTAGTGTAAATGTAGTTCCTATAAATGTAATATAAATGAACAATAACATGTTAAATCTTCAGCTTTGTGTTGTTTTCTCTACAGTGCGTCAGGTGGCTGTCCTGGGTCTCTACTTGTCTGTGCTGTTCTCTCTCTACCTGGTTCCCCTGGGAATGTACTCACCCTGCATTAAAGAGGCAGGAACGCTGGGACCTGCCCCAGCACTCATCGGTCACAGAGGAGCTCCGATGGTGAGACTGAATCTCTGATCTCTGATCCCTGACAGCTGGATCTGGGTCAATTATTCTGGTCATCAACTGCACTGCTGAGATCTGTAGTTGTGGATGTATGTTGGTGAATGTGTGTGTCGGTGCATTGTAATTTATCACTCTGTGAATGTTTTTGCCTCGTGTTTGTGTGTGTGTAGCTGGCTCCAGAGAATACTGTGATGTCATTTGAGAAGGCAGTGGAAGCTGGAGGAGAAGGACTGGAGACAGACGTCACTATCAGGTATTAACTGCTCTCACCTGTGTGTGCATGTGTCAATACTAAATACGTTTGTGTGATTGTATATTTGTATATTTTATGCACCAATGCACCAGGTCACATTCCTCGTAGGTGTAAAAACCTACTTGGCAATAAACATAATTCTGATTCTGATTCTGAAATATATATCCTGTCCTTTTGAGCAACATACATCTTAAAAGCCAAACAGCTAATAGCAGGAAGTACAGTCAAACTCAGATTATAGGAGTTTAAAATTCCATCCATCCATTATCTTCTGCTTATCCGGGGTCGGGTTGCTTATCCGGCTTAAGCACGGCACTCCAGACGTCCCTCCTTCCGGAGTTTTCTGGCTCCTCCTGGGGGATCCTTAGGCGTTCCCAGGCCAGATCAGATATGTAATCCTACAGCGAGTTCTGGGTCTACCCCAGGGATACACCTCAACTGGCCCCATTTGACTCTAAGGAGCAGCGACTTGAGTCCGAGCTCCCTCCAAACGTCTGAGATCAGACACCCGACGGACGACTCATTTTTGGCATGAAGATAGATGAAAGTTGGAACGTAGACTGACTGATCAATCGAAAGCTTTGCCTTCTGGCTCAGCTCCATCTTCACCACAACAGTCCAGTACAATGGTCCGGTACAACAGTCCCATATAACGGTCCGGTACACAACAAGCTTGCTGCTGAGTTTAAAACTCAATTATTGAAATTGGTGCGGCCTGTGTCAGTGAATGTACCTTGAATAGCAACTGCCTGATTAATTGAATAAATTGTTACATTGTGTACATTCACAATTGTTTCAATGTGACCCAATTATGGTTCACCTAAAGTGAAATGATCAAATCATGGTTTAACACGAGAGAACACAACGTGGTTTCTTGCAGCTACAATTATCATTCGAGCAGTCAGTCAACAGTGAACTGATTCTGAGTCGTACAGATCAGATGCTAGCGTGCTACCCTCAATGCTAAGGTGATTACTGCCATGCTAATCCATTTAACCATTAGCCTACCATTTAGCCTGTGGGTTAGCACACTATTTTACAGCCTGAAAACAGGGGGATTAGCAACATGGCATGACTCAGCCTCAGCGTTAGCAGGTTACCTTAATCCTATGCTGCTGGTGACCCCAGTGAGTCTGAGTCTGCATGAATGATTGTGGCTACTAGGCAGTTTCTGTGTAATTAAACTGTCAAGGGTTTTGTGGAGCAATCTGTTAGTGGGTGTGTGTGTGTGTGTGTGTGTGTGTGTGTGTGTGTGTGTGTGTGTGTGTGTGTGTGTGTGTGTACATGCATTCATTTATGGGCATGTACATAACTGATCACTTGTGTGATTAATTAAGATGACAGACTCACTCAGATTGCTTGTGTGACTTAATTTTATTGCTGGTGTTTTGAGAAGTGAACAGTGCTTTGGAGAATTAAATGCTTACTGGGGACTTCAATTATCTTCTCTTCCTCCCATTTCCTCTTATCTCCTTCTTCACTCCTCCTCCCTACTCTCTTCTCCTTTCATTTAATATTCAATTGTCACCACTTACCTCTCATTTTTGTGTCCTGCACTTTTCCTTGCTTACATCCTGATTCCTTGCTTTTTTACTCTTTTAATATTTCCATCCCTCTCTGTAGTTATGATGGCGTTCCCTTCCTGATGCACGACTCCACTCTGAGGAGAACCACTAACGTCGCAGAGGTTTTCCCAAACCGAACACACTTCGATGCCTCCATGTTCACCTGGGCCGAGCTGCAGCAGCTGAATGCTGGCGACTGGTTTTTATCGGTGAGGCTAACCCACACGCACACACACACACTTGATTTTAACTTTGAGTTGAGTGCAAAATTCACGCTGGAGGCAGAATAACAGACATTGTAACCTAAACACTTGAAAACCCGAAAACTGTGATGTTATGTATGGAAATCTGGCTTTAGATAACTATAAAGTAAAAGTGCATCTGACTCTGTTTTTAAAACTACACCTGCCATGTTTTTTCCTTCTCAACACAAAATACAGTATTGTTGCTGGATGAAAACACATCTTAACATTTCATCATTACAGCAACTAAGTTTGATTTTATTTATTTTATTTAATGAAACCAAGAGATGGAATGATTTACTGAACTTTGAGAGAAGATGATTCATATACAAAAAATAGATTTATCCAGATTTATATAAGAACATCTACATGTAAATAACATTGATGTTGCGGGCTGCTACGATAATGTTGCAAAGTGCAAAGAATTAATTAGAAATAGAGCTCAGATACATCTACCATGACCCTTTCTGTGCACTGTGTAGTAGGCTTATTCTTCTCTTTTTTTTATAAATTACTTTTAATAACTAGCTAACTTGTAAACTAGGATCTGTTATGATGAGCACAAAGCTAAAAATGATCTGATGGTAGATAGTGAAGAGACCCTGTAAGTAAAAAAACTATAACCAGTTTTCTTTTATATAATCCAAATAAACACAGCTAGATAAAGTGTTTCTTCCTTTTCTATGAATTCTTGGAATGACTGATCACACACTCTCTCTTACAGAGGGATCCATTTGGTACTGTGTCGTCCCTGTCTGAGGCAGACTGCTCCCAGGCCCAGAACCAGTCTATTCCCTCACTGGCCCAGTTCCTGGAGGTAGCAGCCCGTAGCGGCAAACTGGTGCTGTTTGACCTGCACAGGCCACCGTATGGACATCCCTACAGTCAGTCATACATCAACACCACTCTGCAGGTGGTGCAGGCCCACATCAACTCCTCACAGGTAACTGTACAGAGTGGATGCATGTAAAATGTTGTATGTAAAACTAAATTTGGGAAACTTTATTTTTCACATGCTTCTTAACCTAAATACTGACAATCTTGGTTCAAAACTATTAAATTGACCATCTTAGATTATTGATATGATGAGAAGGAAAGTTTAATTGGGAGGTTCTGACTTCTGTAATGGACTTGACGTGATCTGCTGACTCTGTTGGAGTTACTGTTTGAGTACATACAGACCCAACAAAAGTTTCATTTTGGCTGGTCATCAAGTTACTCAGAAATAAACCAACCTGCCACCGGTGACGTTTGTCATTTTAACCTGTAAAATGTTCAGCACCGGCTAAAAATAAGAAGCTTAATGTTTCTGTTCACGTTGGTAATGAGAAAGAGAGAGTTAGACTTACAGTTTAGCAAATCCATGTATTTAGCCAACCTGGACACCAGAATTTCTCTTCAAGAGTCTCCTGGTGCACCCAAATAATTATCTTTATACACTAGTTTTCACTCACATTTATGAGAGTGAATGTAGACTGTCATAGGACAGTAGAGTAACTGCAAAACTAGGAAGCAGATGTGGACAAACACAGTGGAATACATAAGGATCAGAATTTGATCAGCTTTATTGTGCCTGTTTTTAATATATGTGTGTGTGTAGGTGCTGTGGCTGCCATCCGAAGACAGGGAGCTGGTCCAGACTGTGGACCCAGAACTGCAGCAGACCTCTGGAGAAAAGGCTTCTATTCAGGAACTGACAGATGGCCATATCACCAGACTGAACCTGCACTACAGCACCATGTCACAACAACAGATTAGGTACACACACACACACACACACACACACACACACACACACACACACACACACACACACACACACAAAAGTTACAAAATGTTTTCCTGCTGCAAGAAGACACCAATCACCACAGTGTGCTGTAAATTAAATCCTGTTGCAATGAACACTGAGTACCCAGGAACACTTCCCCTCACAGGAATGGAAAAAAGAAATGAGGAGACAGTACAGATGTGCTACTAATTAGGAACCACAGAAAAACATGAAATTGTAAAAGTACATTTGTAGCGTGTTTGTACTACAGAAGCTATTCTTCTAAAAAAATAAACTCTGAAACGAAACGAAGACTGACAAATTCAGATTTACTTTTTAAATATAAACATACAGTATAGTCAAGCACACAGTTATGCAATCATATCTACACGTTAAATACCTGTTTATAGAGCGAAATGTGACATTTCACTGTGGACTTGCGAACTGTCTCTTCTGTTTGTGTGTTTGTGTATGTACATGTCTGTAGTTATGTAACTCAAAGTACAGATGGCCAGCTCGTCCTCAGTGACTCCATCTTGTTGCTAGAACAGCCTCAGGGAAATGAAAGGAGGAAGGCAGAGGGAGGTGGGAACGAGAGAGAGGGAGTTAAAGGACAGGTGGGTGAGAAGTGAGAAAGAGAAAAGACGGAGCGGATAGAAAAACCTGGGTAAAGACGAGCTTATTCAGTAAAGGACCGAATTGGTTTGAGTGGTAGGAAGAAGGAGAAAGGGGTGAGGCAGTAGAGGAGGTAAAGACTGGTTGGAGATGGGAGTCTATATAAGAGGAGGTGGTTTAGAGGAGAAGAGGGTGTGAGAGGCTCAGAAGTACTACAAGAGAAACGAGTGGGAGGTACTTGTACATAAACAGAAGCTGTGGGAGAACAATCTGGAAAGAGGAGGGCGTGAAGATGGTTGAGTGACTCACACATCGATGGTTTTTTAGCACAACTCACACAGTCCACTGAAATAGTTGTTGCTGTTGATTCATCTTTACTGTAATATCTCATTGAAACATGGAAATATCAGCTTTGATGGCACCGTGTTAGTCACCAACTGGAGGAGCCTGGTTGGATGAATCACGTTACATTGTGTGGTAACAGTTGTCTCAAAGTTGCACTCATAAGACATCGTTTGTGTGATTTGATAATTAGAGCATTATAATAATGCATGTGGTCAAACTAAACATGTTGATTCTTTTGTAGTGCAACTGCACAGTGATTTACTGATGATCAAAAGGAAAGAAAAGTCTGTCTCTAATGGACAACACTTTTTTGGAGTCCTTGTAATACAGAATGCTTTAAAGGTTGTATATACAACTGGATGTTGCACTAGAGCACCAGCATCTCATACCAAAACAATGGGACAGAAATAAAAAAAACTCACCAAAACTTACTTTGTCAATCTTTCTACAGTCTTTTCAACAATCCCTAACGCGGGAACTTAAGTGTGAAAAATGTTCATATCAATGTAATATATTTGCGAAAGTGGATGCAACAGCCAGAATTTTGCGCCTCAATGTGAGTCCACACTGACAGGCTCAGATTGTGTCTGACAGCATTTTGGAAATAATCGAGAGATTGAGAGATAGACCGTTTAACCAGAAACAGCTGTAATATCACTATCACTCGCCACCAGACTCCATAGACAAAAATACAATTTTATCTTGCATATCATTGTAATCGTAAATTCATTTAAAGTTGACAGAAACAAAATAAAACTCACCAAAACGGTCTATGTTGGTCTTTCCACTGTTCCAGCAATCACCTACTCCAGTTTGGTTGCAATAAATCCTTAATTCACTGACATAGATGAGAAAAACAGGAGTTTCAGTAGCTCTGCTCAGATGTACACAGAGCAGACACAGCAGGCCCAGGGCTCATATTACATAAGGAGTAATCACAATAAGTTACACACAGTGAGGCATATAGATTTTAAATAAAAGCACCGGTATCAAATAGGTACTTGGTTCCTGAGTTAAAGTATTAGTATCATAGAGAAAAAGTTGGATTGTTGGATACATTTTCCTTAAAAATCTGATTTTACAAAAAGAAAATTAGATTTCAGTATATACAGTCAATTTCTTAACTCCCTCATGGTGTTCCCTCAGGGAGACACAGTCTTCTCTCTCTGCTGTGCACGGTACCTGGATTATTGTTTATGACAGCCGTTACTTTTGAAGTGACCACAGGGACCAAAAAGAGTCTATCTATTAATACATATGTTACATGTTCAAAATGATGGTAAAATATTTTTAATAGATTGAAAGCAACAAAATACAGTCATTACAGAAAAATGTGTGCATCGATTTCAGTGCAAAACAGTGTTTATGTTACTCACTGCTGTACCCTTAATGAGGGAGTGTTATCTAAAATAAGAGCTATTTATTCCCAGGGTGAATTTTGTAATTGCAGAGGTTATTTAAGTTCTGATAAAGCATGCAACTGGTACAGTTTCAACAGCTTTTGAATAAGTGCACCATTTGAACAAACTGCTCATTTGAACTGACCCTCAGAGTGATGTCACAACCAGGAATAATAACGAGATTATACAACTCCTGGAGGTTATACAACTTCTGGTTGTATAACCTGGAAAAGAATAATTTCGTCTCAGCTCTGATCTTCCTCTTAACAGAAAATCGATGTCTCTGAGAGAGAGTGAGAGGTGAATTTAACATTGCTATTGTGATAAATGACTTCACTCTCTCCTTCACCGTCTCTGTCTGTTCTTTCTTTCATTAACCTGACTTCTTTCCCCTCCATCTTTCTTCCTTCCTCCTTTCCTCTTACCTTCCCTCCACCTTCTACTCCTCTCTTCCTATGTGTTCATCTTTCTGTCTCTTCTCTCATTATTCTTTTAAATCACATAAGCTTCACTGGCATGAACAACATTCGTGCCAGTGATTTGCACAGGGGAATGAAAGAGGAGAGGTTACTCTTGTTTTTGTGCTGCTTTCTGGACATGTGATGCTAGCTTTTTGAAGGAAGGCTTCTTGTAGGGCAGTACATTTTGTGCTCTCATTGAGGAAGTGAAGCTCTGTCTCTGGATCACGGATCAGTGAGAATGCAGTCTCTCATGACTTGGTAGTGTGAACCTAACCTGACGTCACCTGTTGGTTTGTGGAGTACCGTTCTGAACCCTTTTTGTCATGCTGTTCTCTTTCTATTGTGTATAATTTGATTGGATTAGTCTCAGGACCAGGTGACTAAGGAGACTCTTTAATGTGTTCCTACTTTAAAAACAAGGTAGTGACATAATTTTCTTCTTTCTTCCCTCTCTTTCTACAGTAAGTACCAAACAGTAAACATCAGTACCAACCTGTATGTTATCAGCCAGCCGTGGCTCTACACTCTGGCCTGGTGTGCCGGAGCTCAGTCCGTAACCACCAACTCCATCCACATCCTGTCCAACATCAACAAGCCGCTCTTCCTCATGGTAAGCATGCTGTTATCTGATATTATGATGAATAAAGTAAATTTTAGCACCAGTATTTCCTCATCATATATAACATCAGTTATCATTCTTTTTCCTTTTGTTCAGTTGTTTTGTAAGTTGGCACACTGCTGCTCTGATCATGATGTAAGACTCAGAATATTCCAGTGAAAACAGCAGGGGCTGTATCCACAAAGGATCTTATCTAACAGACTCAAAGTTTCCTCTAAGGAGCTTTTCACAAAGCTGCAACTCTTTGTAAGAAACTGAGAGAACTGAAGTGGTTGACCCTGTTGCTATGGATGACATTCTGTTTCATGAATTAACTGACTCACCTTGTCCACAGTGACTTGTTGACAGATGACTGGTCCATGTAATGTGAAATAAATGACTTATTAGTCATTTATTTTATACGCCGTGTCACAGCTTTATGAAACAATATTTCATAAATATAGACATCTGCTTATAGTACCAAATTTACTGTTTAAACCAGAGATTGCCACAAAAAGAGACTTGAATTGCATGAATTGCAGTTTGTGATTATTTAATGTGCCCTTGATGAACTGTCAGACAAACAGGGGTCTGAAGAGCATTCTTGGTTTGATGAATAATTCAGACAAACGTCTGAGATCTGCACCACAAACTGTATTTTACTGTTGTCCAAGCTGGGGAGTGCACACCATCATCTCCAGTATTGTTTTGACTAAATCCTCATTAACTGGCTGCCATCCAAATATGTTTTTAAAAGTTGGTTATCATTATCACAGACACAATAAGACCTGCACATTACTGACTGTGAGCAGATCTTTCAGACTCCTCTGAACTGCTTCTAATGTCTCTTTATTCTCTTTAATCTAATTCTTTATGAATTAGATCATGCCTCTCATTTTAAGGAGCTACTTTTAGCTTTAGGATGTTTTGTGAACACGTCTCCAGACCTGTACATTTATTAGACATCTGGAATTTGTTCTTATTCTCTGTGACTTTCAGTGAGTTGGCAGGTGGGAGGTTTTGTATTAGTTTAGAAATCTCTTCAGCAGCTATGGTGGGTGTCTAAAGATTGAACCTGTGACCCCCTGGTTACATAAACATTCTCTCTCACCTCCTACGTGTCTGTTTAAATTCAAATGAGTCCAAGCCCAATACTTTATGGTCACTAAATGAAATGATGATATTCATGTTCACACTCTGAGGAGCATCAACCCGTTCTCTCTCTGTCTCTCTCCAGACTCCAGAGGAATATAGTTTAATGTGGATTCTGACTGATGCTGTGTCGGCCGTCCTCATCATTGCAGTTTTCATATTCCACTGGTGCGTAGACACACACACACACACACACACACACACACACACACACACACACACACACACACACACACACACACACACACACACACACACACACACACACACACACACACACACACACACACACACTTCTCTCATAATTATCCTCCCCTGCTAACTGAAACGTCTGGTGTTGGGGTGGTGAAGCTGTGCAGGGCTGAGTCATCCTGGCTGCTAATGAGGATTTATCATTAATATGTAATCTGAGATGTCACTGTGGCCATGTGGATGTGAGGAGAGTGAAGAAAAGTGTATTACTGATCAATGTCAGGACAGAGAACATGCCGATTTGTTTTTCAACTTGGTACTTATTTATGTAGTATTTGCCATCATTTATATCAGTTATAACATTTTTCTTGCCAGCACAATTGCAGAGATACTGCACCACCAGTAGACAGCTTTGGGTAGGAGTCCATCAAGTGATCAGAAGTTCAAAAGTACAGTGTAACCCAAAAAGACAAGAACATACCAACCCTGCCCAATAAATCATTCTGATTTCTTTTATTTAAACACTGTTTATTTGGAGTTTGGTCTGCATTCAGTGAGGGGAGACTAACAAACACATTGGAAATTAGGGATGCACAATATGGTAAAAAAAAAATCCTATTGACAGATATTACGATTGCAATATGATTCACAGTTAATGGTGATGATAATTTTTGCATCACGGTATTGTTTTTCACTGAAATGAAATGAAATCATCATGATGTGAAATTCTTGCAGGGTTTTTGTTTAATCACATATTTGACCTCTATTTAATAAACCGGAGCTTCTGTGATTTGGATTTTGTTCTTAGCCATATAGTGGTTTTGAGAATATAAAGATTAATTGTGCAGCCCTATAGTGAATCATTTTCTTAATGAGTAAAGGAATCAGGTTAGTAAATTTGGTGTGGAATGTCACAAACACTTCTTGCAGTGATTGTTCAGGTTTGTGGGGTTGAGAAAAAGCTATTTTTCATGCATACAAATGAGTGCAACACTATGAATGCCTTCCAGGAGAGACTGTCTGAAAATGTGCGACGTAATCTCCATATTTAAATGATTATTGTGTCTCATCTCTCTCCATGACGTCTGCATTCTCACCCCACATTCAAGTATGACTGCTCAGAACAAATATACACACGTTTGCCTTCCAATGTGGTCGAAAAACCAGTTATTTTTTAGCATAATATGGCCCTTATGCTCACTATGAAAAGAGTGAGAGTGTGAATGTGAGTGAGATTCATCACTTCCTGTCAGCCAGATGAGGTCTTTCACCGCAAAGGGCTGGATATTTTTTCATGGACGCCTCTGTGGTTTTGTTTTTGTTTTTCTTTCATCATCAGTTCATTTCTTCTCCCTTTTATACCAGGGCTTTAATCAACATTCAGCTGGACCACTCACACACCCACGTCATCATGCATGCTCAGTGTATACATCAAAGCAGTTATAGTGGTACATATGGCAGTCTAAAAGCACTTTGGTAAAAACAGAAACACACCTGGTTGTTCTCTGCTGCTCTGATCTCTCTCTCTTTTGTGTGTGTGTGTGTGTGTGTGTGTGTGTCACAGGTGGAGAGAGAGAGGCCTGCCCTTCTGGTCCGGCAGCCGTCAGACTCACGAGAATGGACCTTACAGCAAGTTCAGAACGGGTATGAGAACACTCTTATCTCTTCACTCTTTACTGAGGTTTCTACACTGTCATTGTGCAGAGTTTTACAAACAAGTTTCATTTTCTATAATGCCTTGTCTTTATCGTGGTAGATATTAGCTATGTTTACTGTGAACTGGGGTCTTCATTAAGAGGCAGTTTATGACACAGATTAGGATATTTCGTCTCATTGCTTGAGAGAGAGAGAGAGAACGGCAAAAAGTCTAACTATTAAAGAAAAAGCTGTTGATTAGACAACCTCCCAAAAGGTTGAGGCCTTTTGCTTATGTTTTTTGTCACAAACAAAATATATCTTTAAGATTTTTATCTTTTGTGAAAAAAGAGAAAAAGGTAAATCTTAAAATGGAATATTGTAACTTATCTAAGCATGTAAAACATTTTGTTTGGAATAAACAATTTACCCCATCACTTTATAATGAGTACACACTATTAACAGTAATTTACATGAATACACATTAGTATTAGTTTTAAAGCATGAATATTAATGCAGAAAGAATTCAACACAATTTTTACTAAAGCCCTTACTACTCGTTAATTAAGTATTTTGCATCTAAAGTGATCACTAGCTATGGCTTATTAAGCATTTACAAATGAGATATAAAGGCTGACAATGCCTCGAGACTCACAAAATGTTCAGTTATCTTAACAGACGAAGGAGAGACACAACACAAAGGGATAGAGAACATATTGTATTGATATTTATTGCAACATCCCAACATATTGTATGAAGACGAACAAGGGTGGTTTATGAAGTTAGCTTGTCAGCAGAAGCCAACCTAGTCTAGTCTCGTCTAGCCGGGCGAGGTGAGTGCCTAGCAGCGGCAGGTCGGCTTAGCCACCGCGGGCGGGTCGGTAATGTTAGTAACGTTAGTCGGGGAGCGAGGGCAAACACCTGCAGCTGCTGACAAGCTAACGTTATCTTTCAACCATAATGTGTGCTACCAAACAAAGACACATACTCACCTCTAGAGCCGCTGACGGCCACCGACTCCAATGTGCTTCTCCATGCTCCCCTTGGCTGCACTGTCAGAAACTTCTGAGAGTTAACGTAAATATGACGTAACATCCCGCCTCCCACCGTCATCACGTTGATGACGTGCTGAGAGCGGGAGCTCAACGTACACGTCCCAAACAGATAAGATCACAACAATAGCATGTCTTCATAAACCACCCTTGTTCGTCTTCATACAATATGTTGGGAAGTTGCAGTAAATATCAATACAATATGTTCTATATCCCTTTGTGTTGTGTCTCTCCTTCGTCTGTTAAGATAACTGAAAACTTTGTGAGTCTTGAGGCATTGTCAGCCTTTATATCTCATTTGTAAATGCTTAATAAGCCATAGATAGTGCTCACTTTAGATGAGTTTGTGCAAAATACTTAATTAAGGAGTAGTAAGTGCTTTGTAACTGTGAATTCCTGCATTAATAACTGTTTATAGGCCATCATTGGAAAATAATTTTTTGGTGAGTTTAATAGAACATCTGCTAACACAGTCACTAATCATTAATACATGTCTGAATAGTGGATGTGCAAGTGCATGCAGAAATGTACAGTACAATGTAGAGTAAAACATTTCTAACTGTGATTATAAACCACATAGTAATGACTATTTACAGCAGAATCATGCTTTATAAATGATGAATTCAGTATTTACTAATCCATAACTAATGTGCTTATCAATGGTGAATAAAACATTTTTAACTGTGTTTATAAACTACATACTAATGTGCATTCATGCATTATAAATGATGATTTCATTATTTATTCATGCTTAACTAATGCTTAATAGTGTGTACGCATTATAAAGTGTTACCTTACAGGGTAATATATGGGGACTCACAGATTTAATGTCGTGGCCAGGTTGTTGTAGGACATTTTGGGAAATAGTAAATATCAGTTTCATCCCTGTCGATCAGTGCAGGGTTAGGGTTGGGCTTTAATGATGCAGCTAATCTTCATTAAAAGAGGAAAATCACTTTTCAACAGGCTCGCTAGCCACCAACACATCTAAGAATCACTTGAGTTTTATTCAGAGTCACAAAACTGTGCCAAGTGTGTGTGATGGCCTAATACAAACAAGTCCCTTAGCTAACCGTAACCCACACAGAGATGTAGTTTATATTGATCTTAGGAAACAAATGCATTTCCCAAAACGTAGCTTGGCTTAAGTTGTGGCTCGACCAGCAGAGACAAGACATTATTTTATGATTACCCTCTTTGCATGCAGTGATCTCCTGCTGTGTGTCTCTGTGTTATGTGTGTGTTTATGTTCATGTGTGTGTATGTGTCAGACTCTTCAGAGGTCATCTGTGTTCGCTGGAGCCCCCTCCACTCTGACCCCCCTGCTGGAGCCTTCGTCTCCCTCCCCTTGGTCTTCAACCCATGACCCCCTGCATGTCAGCCCTGCATGTCAGCCCTTCAGCAACCTTGTATGAACCCTGAACCCTGTTTGAACTGTACAAGTGTAGAAAACTAGCATGGACCCTCTCTGAGATTTGTGTGATTTAAATGACTTTGCTAGGCAAGCAACAGCAAAATAATACTTGAATTGTAAAAAAAATTGAGGTGGTCATGTACTGAAGCTAGACACATGAAAACCACAAATGACCTCCACTAGAACACTATATGAAATAAGACCTTACTGCAGTGTATGTGTGTTTGCATCATGCACCAAACTCATCATGTTGCTTCTTTTTTAATCTCATCTTTGCATTTGTAGATAGATGCATTACTGTCACATTACCCATGCTTGGCTTACCAACCCACCCCCCACAGTATGGCCTCTGTATTACCGACAATACACCCTGACATTTGAAGGTATAAACTCTAAACTGTTTGACCTTTGCTCCCCTTTGCAGAGCTGAGCGACGTGTGGTCCATCTCCAGCGTCAACGTCCGGCCTGACCTGCGGAGCACACCCAGTTCACCCAGTAATCCTCACCTGCCCACCATCACAGAGGAGTGACTGGGAGAGAGACAGAGGGAGTGGGAGAGAGTGGGTGGGAGAGAGAGAGACCGAGAGGAGGGAGAGAGAGAGAGAGAGAGAGAGAGAGAGAGAGAGAGGCAAGATAAAGAAAGTACAGAAGTATAGAAGAAGATAATGAGAGATGGACAAGAGACAGATTGTGACAACAATCAAACTGGATTAAATATATTCTTAGTTATTGTTTATTAAAGGTTCAAAGACTAGATGGGATTTTATCTAATTTGACTTGATATGAGACGGCCTCATACAGTAAACAAACAACTACTGAAAAAGGTTAGTGAAGAAGAAACAGACATCACCCATCATTAATCAATGTAAGAAGCTGATAAAGCTGAAAAAGGTGTTTTCTTTAAATAAAAAAGAAAAGATAATGGAGTCTTTAAATAAGAGAAGAAAAAGGAGCAGATGTTCCAAAATCACAAGACAAAATAACCAAGGACGAACAGAGAAAACTGTTGAGGTAAAGTCACTGACAGCAAACTCTCTTGTCTTTTTCCACTTCCTCTCTCATCTTCTCTCAGACTGTGGGCCAACTGCCCCCAGGAACTGAACTCTAAACCAAACCTCATTCATTGATCTGCCATCAGGGACGGAGCAGAGAGACTCTGGACACGAGCCCAGGAGCAGCAGTGTGCATTTCCATGCTATAATCTCATAGATGCCATTAAAACGCCTGGGCAGTGAGGACAGTTGAACACTGGCCCGGAGGCTGACATGCTTGACAACATTTTCATCTCTGGTCATTCAACGCCACCAGCTGAGCTCAACAACGCAAGACGTCAAACTAAACCTCACAAAAGAAACAAGAAAACAACAGCTATATAGTGCTGTAGCAATACAGCCGACTTTCACTATTCCCGTCTCGTGTTTCTAGTTGATAAAAACCAAATGTTTGTCAGAGGAAGAGCGGCAGAGTGGATGTGAAGCTTTGTTAATGCTCTGTCTTTAGAGCTTCTTCAGAGACGTGTGGACGATGATAAAACGGACTCTGAGAATCTTCTGCAGGAGCTATACTTTTTCATTTTCAGCTGTACAGATATCAGGTGCATTAGACCAAACCTTAAACCATGTCTTAAATTTGAATCTGTGTGTGTCTGAATTGTTGGCTGTGGTGTATGAACTGTACACTTTTGGACTGATGGAATGAATGTAAAGGCTTGAGAAGGTACTGTTAGTTGCTAATTATGTTTTGTACTAAAGTGAATGTATTATCAAGTGTTTCTCAAAAGCATATGAGGAATGTTTTGGCTGGGAGTCAATTCAATTTGGCTACAGGTTTGTGCCAAATGCAGTATCAGCTGCTCTAAATAAAGATAAAGATGCTTTTGAGAAACCAGTCCTCTTACTCTTTTTACGAGGCCGTGAATTAAAAAAGTCTGCTTTCTCCTGAAATTTACGCACACCGTACTTTCTGGAAAAATGACTATATAGTTCATCTGTCTCCTAACTTAAAGTGACTCTAGATCTGAAATCCAGTTTCAACTTTTCAGGTGTGAAATCCTAAGGTTAGGGGCCAGTTTGCTGGACAGTGTTGGAGATGAACCAGGGCGCGCTGCAGTAAGTGCCATTAAAAAAAGACTACTTTATGGCTTTGTTTTCACTGTTTAGAGTCAGAATCACTTTATTCATCCAGCTATTGATTTAGATAGCTGGAAGCTATTTGAATGCACGTCCTTGCAGGTATCTATTGCAAGGAATCAGTGTAACATGGTTCCAGGTGGGCTGCTCATCACATTTAACCTGCAGACGGAATCCATGTTGATGTGATTTTACACAACTAGACGTCCATTTAGTGTTTACTCTCCCGTTCCGCTGGATTTTGGCCTTTTGAAGTTAAGGACTTTGTTTGATTTTGGCTGTGGGTCTCAAGTAGACTTGAGGTTAAACTGTCATTGTTTTCAGCTGCTTTTCCACCTCGTGGTACGGCTACTCTACTCTCCTTTTTGGTTTTCCATTATGTATAGTACCTGCTGCTTTTTTTGGTGCCACCTCGGTCGAGGCTCCATGTGAGCTGAGTTGATGCTAAAAGATGACCTGAAAACACTGCAGACCACTGATTGGTAGTGCAACATACTGCACAAACCCCACATTGTTAAACAGCCAATCATCCATCCAATAGTGACCCCAATTTTATTTTATTTATTCTAAAATGGCAGCCTGCAAAAACCAGAGCTGACATATCAAAAATATACCATCTCTTCATATCCGATGTTATAAGAGTAGCAGCTGCTTTTTGTGTGTAGTTAGTATGTGGTGAGTGAAAGAGAGAGAGAGCAGTAAATGTGAGCAGTGCAGAGGAAAAGTGATCAATCTGGCAGTAAATGTACATTGAAGGTTTGTCAGTCCGTTTTCCCAACTGTGTCCCCATATGGCGATCAGCTCCGCCTACGGCGAGGAGGTACTGTCCAAGGCACTATCTTCAGTGGAAAACAAAGTAAAGGTACCAGAAGCAAGTTGAGGAGAGTCAAGTCGTACCATGGAGTGGAAATACAGCTTTGGTGTGTCCTGTACCAGGCTTCAGTCTGGACTCCCTCAGGGCTGATTGTGGTCTGTCTGACTGAGGTGGTGCTGACACATGTCTGAAGACGGATAAATGTTTGGCTGTAATCAGAAGTTTTGTTTGCAACGTGAGACTTCTGGATGAGATTGTGCTCAATGCTTTCCTTCGTCCTGAAGTCAAAATTAAACATTGCTTATGCGATCTAGATTTAAAGTGCAGAGTCACATGACTAAGACTGCAAACGCAACAAAGTAACTTAATGTACTGTATTGTATTGTAATATGAAAAGTGGCTTGCACTTAGTTTAACTGTATTTGTGTTCCTGTTGAGAATATAGTAGCTGATGTGTTATCAATCACTGCACAGCCATATTTATTCTATTGAATATGATGTTTTTCACCGTAAGGCCGTCCATTTTAAGTGAGTCTGGTCACAATGCACCGCTTTGTTGGACTTCCTTTGGAAATGCGTTGCATTTCGAGCCTTGCGCGTGTTGGATTTATCCAACTTTTGTTTTATAGATGCTTTCTTAAAGCCAAAGTCTATGCTATCTTGCTAGAGTCAGACTCTTAGCTCGTGTTGACTGAAGTGGTGTCTGTGAAGAGATTTCAATATCCTAACATCCACAGAAACGTGCAGCACTCCAGAGGTCAAAGACACCTGATTCTAATGAAAGCTTCATAGCAGGTTTATCGACACGAGGTGATTCTTTTGCTCTTTGCTGTTTTGTCCTCTGAAGTGCTGCCCTGTATTTTGACTTCAAATGTACAATTACAATACAGACATTGCTGATAGACAGGATCAGTTGACCTGTTTCCTCTTATGAATTCAGAGAAATTCCACAAACCACTGCAGTATTATCCACTTCTCCACTATCCAGCGGTACTTAGTGTGTTCCAAATCTGGCTAAATTGTGGGTGAAGCTCAATATAACATGGAAGATGTGTTTTACTTATATGACAAAACAATGACAGTTTGGCACATACTGAGCATGAAGATGAACTGAACAACCTAACACACACATTTGTTTGGTACCTGCAACTCAACCAAGCAGGAAACATCTTCTGGCACCCTGAGAACACCTTTTTGCTATTAAATCTCTATATTTAGGACAAAGTTAAGTTATGGCTGTATTTCGTTGTTTTCACATGGAGGCGACCATTGCATGCTGCTCTGCACGTTATTTCAAGCTTAAATTAGTGCGGTCAAACCATAAAGAAGATGTAAAAGACCAAAATTGGTAGTACATGGAAGAAATGGAATAACACCAAATACACATTGTCAGACCAACAGACTCCCACTGGAGGCAAACAACTTCTCATTGTTCAGTCTCAGTCACTCCAGACTGGTGAATAAAATCACAAATACTGCAAGATTTTCTTGGCAAAACTGAAAACAAAGTCATCACAAACCCAGTCATCACCACCTGCTTTGCTGTCTTGATGCAAGCGTGCGCTGTAGATATAAATTATTTTTTTACAGTTCGGTATGTTTGAGGTCAGTGTCCGTGAAATGGAATTATAAAGTAGAATTTTCCATATCAACGCTGTGTTTTAGATTTGGCTCCCTCAGTGGCATGATTCAGAACTCATGGTTTGATAATGGAAGGGAGGCTAGCCCTGACTGGAAGCTGTGGTCCTGTTTAACACCTGCATGCCATGCGGCTTGTACATTGAGACATTGGCTGTTGTCCCGCTTGTGCTTTAAAGGTCCAGTGTGTAACATTTAGTAGGATCTATTGGTAAAAATATAATATTCATAGGTATGTTTTCATTAGTGTATAATGTTGAGGAATTTCTGTATTTCAAAAACTCATTCCTCGCGCATTCGTTTTAATGAAGCAATAGGAGAAGATTTAGTTTACTCAATAATCAGCTTTATTCTTAACACCAGTATATTGTACAAAAGTAACAGAGCTCTGGGTCAATGATTAACCTGACATGCACAAGGTCTCCAGTTCAGTCTGAGCAACCTCTTGTTCCTAACATTAGTTCTTATATTTTTGCAGATAACACACATAGCACAAGATGGTAGAATCTCCACCCCTTGTCCTCTTGGTATTTTGTCTCCAAGGATGGGGTTGATGGGATGGCGTCGATGGGATCGCCACAACCTGGAACTCCTCGAAGGGAAAACGGCCTCTTTTTCTGACATTCAATGACATGTAGTCTAAACCTACGCACATATTATTCAAACCTATGCGTACACTTCGTACTCTCTCTTCCAGATATGGAGTTGTTTCTCACGACTGGAAGGAGTCCGTCTTGTGTTCAATCATTGTTTTACGAGCTCCTGATACTGACCTCGGAGGCTGTGTTTACCGCTATCTCTCCCAAAGAATGTCATGTTATATCTGCAACTACCCACACTCTTCTCCCTTATACTGTGTCTGCTATTCATATTCATTAGTCAGTTACAATTCTATAACACATCATACAAACCTCTAATATTCATTACTTTATTTCTGTTATTAGTATTCCCTTAACAGCCCTTTATCAATGTAAGCATAATCAATGTAAGCACAAGTATACCTATTGCTATTCTAGTTAATAATCATATAGTTAAAAGTGGAGTATAAATCATAGAATATCGCAACAATAATCACCTAAATAAAGGAATAATTGTTAATTATTGTTATCTTTAGAATAAGCTGCTTTTTATCTACAGTAGCCCATAATGGACACACTGGCTCTAGATTGGGCCCCTGGTGTTTTTCGCAAGTTTCTCCTCCTGTTGTTTCTCCTACACACTTCACAGCCCGTTCTCATGGTCATCAAATACAGACAACAGTGCTCAGTTAGTTTCAATCTGCAATTTCACCTCTAGATGCCACTAAATACACACTGGTCCTTTAAATGTGACAAAAAAGTAATGTGAAGAGATTCACACTAACATTTTCAGACACAGTAAAACCTTTGATCTCTTAAAGATAAGGAAATCAGACTGAACTGAAATGATCGACAGGTCTGATATTCGTGCACAAAAAGTGTACAAACGCTCAATTGTCTTTGAATAATGTGCTGTAGTACTTACTGTCTAGGAAAAGGTAGAATGAAATGAATGAAAGTATTATAATATGGGTATTGTAGTCCAGATGCCATTCTTTGAAACGGTTCAATCTCTGTAGCATTTCACATCTTGTGCTGTACTGACCGGCTATCTTTATTTTATTTTATAGACACGTTCCCAATTTTTGGTTTCTTTTTTTTACTGTAACTTTTCTGATTGTAAATGCAACTGTCATCTGGTATTAAAACTTGGAAAAAAAGTTTGGTTGTTGGTGGCACTGTCCGTGGTGGTTCTCCATCATCAAATTTGACCTTTTTTATAGTGTACACTGAGGTGCAGCTGACTAAACACAGCCAATGAACCACAAGGCTGTCAACTACACTACACTGCGTTGGCTCTTGTGGGGATATTTAGAACAAACTCTCAATTAGAAACTTCTCTAAATAGCACTTGATGAGAAAAAAGCTTTTCGGTTTGCCTTTTTTAACTCCTAAAGCGAAGCTGGACCCACCAAGCTTCTGTCTACATTAGCAGTTAGCTGTGTCAATGTGTAGTCAGTGTGGACCCACATTAGATTTTTGCCAAGACCAAATAAGCTAGATGTTTTATCAGTCAAGTCACGTGATGATATAACTGTTATGCTATTTACAGGAATATCCTTGTCCTGATACAAGTCAGCATATAAATATACCAGTATACTAGTGAGCAAACAGTGTCCTGTTATCAGATACCAGCGTCAGCTACAAGTAATAGATTTTAAATACAAGAGTTATTCATTCAGTTATCAGTCAAGTCAAAACATGTATTTAATGTTTTATACAAAAGAGAGAGCACACATTACATGGACCATGAAATCAGTACAGCAAGTAAAGATGTTACACAGACAAAACAGAAACTAGTAAACACCACCTAAAAAGCAACACAACAGGAAAAGAAAGTAGCATATCAAATGGAATGATTGGCACTGTTAAAATACCAGTGTATCTGTTCATCATACAAACAAGACAAAACCAGTGCAGGTTAATGGATGAAGGGTTCACATCAAAAAGAAGACATACAAAGTGACAAAAAAATGAGAGAATTTAAACAGAAATAAGATGAGTGCTCTGTTTTAGTGGAGGTAAGGCCACTGGGTTGGGTGAGGGCATTTCAAATAATCCAAATGTTTTAATATGTCTGGTTTTACAGTATGATGTGTTCTGGGGAAAACAACTTACTTGTCCCGGTGAGTACTTTTTTCTTTAACTAAAGATTTGTTACTCTGTGTAAACTCAGAAACTTCAAACAAAATTATAGACGAGGGCCCGTAAGTGTAAAAGCTGTCAGGAATGATTTGAAGACTTGAGTAAAAACATTGTTACACAGAACTTGGAGCCTTTATATAGTATATATGAGTTAAGAGTAACTTTTAGTACATTTATTACACATTAAAGTGGGATTCTTCAGTGCTGACTGAAAGGTCCAAAATGTAAAATAACTACATAATGCATCACTGACTCAAACAGACCTTTTTCACAGCAGCCATTTTGATTAAATCACTGTGTATTTTGAGTCATTTTAATGCACTAGAATGCCAGTCTTGGGAGATCTGTGAAGTCATTTAGATACAACAGTTGTATGCAAGACAATTTTAAGAAACTGTGAGAAAAGTGTAATGTGTTAATTTCCCTTTTAACACAAAGATGGAAAATCAAGACCTCAGAGTTATAAATGCAGTTTCCAGCATGTATTAGGACAGTAACATTTGTAACAGCAAAAAACTACACGACTTGAGCGTGATAGTAGTTTAACACAATAGTCCAGAGGACCACTTACTAGCTTTTTCTTGAGCTTTTCAACTGCATCTCTGACTTTCATCAATGTATAGAGTACTGACCTTTTTCACAGCAGCCATTTTGCAATTAAATAGTAGGATAAACAGGCGTTATCAATGACACTAATTAAGGCTCTGTTCCATTTAGTGTAGCAGAGCCTGCAAAACATCAGCACGCTGACTGTTTAACCTGAATGGAATGGAACCCGAATTAGTATCGTTGGTAAAACCTGTGTTTACGATCAGTGTGCTTTGCAGCTAACAGATTTACGTTTTGAAATGAGTAAATCAAGCTGATGTATGTGAATGACTTATCTTCAACCACTTTTATTATCACATGATAAATGTGCTAACTCCTTCCTATAATAAAGACTGAGATGCAACTAAAAGCCCCAGAAAAAGGTAGAAAGTGGACTACAGGAATGTAACAAAATCCCCATAAGAACAGCAGCTGCACTCCACAGGAATGCTGGGTAATGCAGTCTCAATAAAAACAGAGAAATAATAAAAAGGCATGAAATGTAAAATTAAACACACACAGCTGGAAATAATCTACAACATTAAACATTAGAGGTGTAAATGTAAATCATTAATTATTAAAAAACAAAACCTCCTTATTAAACCTTTACACACAGTATAGGCCATAAATAACAAACATCTGGGCTGTGACCCAAAACACATACAGGTCTGTCTCTACTCTGTCACACATAACGATAATAGAGTTTTAAATAAATGAGCTCAGGTTCCTAAACACCACGTCAGTTACACTGTTAGGTTACAAGGCCAGAGAAACAGATAAATGTCTTTCTAGACCCAAACAAGAAGGAATCTTTCTGAATATTATTCAAAGTGATGAAAAGATGCACTGTTACTGGTTTTCTACGATAAACTTACAGCCAATACTCTCAGGATGCTTTAGACAAGCAAGGAACAGGACTAAATGTCTATATTTTCACTAAAGTTCCTGTGACACACACAAAAACCCTAAATTGTTGGATGGATGAAAACTTTGATATCACTGGTGAGTCAATAAATGTGTTAGAATGAGACACAGGGAAGGTCATGTGATGTAAAGACTGCTCTTAATAACTAGCTAGGGCTAACTGGAGGTTGACCAGGGTTTCTGCAGTGTTCAACAGATTTAATGTGAGACTTTTAAAGACCTTTTTAATAAAATTTAACAATCATACCGGTCAAAGATAGGTGGGAAACCGGTAGGAACAAAAAGGCCCACATTTATCTATTTAAGAGGAAATAGATAAAGTAGTTGGATAAAGTAGTCAGTAAACATGCTGTCTCTTATTTCCAAAGTGGTATTTATCATTTATTCACAAAGCTGAAAGTTGAAAAGTTGTCTGTTTTCACTTTAAGCGCATGTATTTATTGACATTTATATTAAATTTTTGTCTGTACTTCCCAATAATTACTAAAATTATTCAATCAAGGTGGATAAGCGACATAAAATTGATGGATTGATTGATTGATTGACTGACCAATTAACTTGCCCATTAAAGACAATACTTGCAGTTTATAGATGCTTTTGTTCAAGTCACAAGAACATTTGACTGTTTTTAGGGAATAAGGTCCTCGTCAAACATTAAGGAAGTGAACATCTGCTGCCACTTGGAGTCACTGCAACATTTACAAAGGCGTCCTGGATCTTTAACAATAACAGCAGCACTGACTGAATGCTGTATTTCCGTACAAGCAGTCTGACTATTGAATCCTGAGCCAAACCAGGAGGACCGACCTGTTGGACGGAGAGTTTGGAGGTTTCAGAGGTAGTCATCCTCACTGGACGGCTCGTCCTCATCCAAGTTGTAGCTGTAGTGGTAATAGTTGCTGGGGCCCTCGCCGGGGTCGTCGCTGCTGGCAGCCGAACTCTCCCCAGTGAGCTTCGACCCTTCTGAGCTAGCAGAAGGACTGCGGCTCATCCTCCACAGCTGGTAGGCAAAGGTCCGCCCCCAGCTGCAGGGCTGGCCAATAGGGCGCAAGAGCCGGATGAGCTCAGTGGCCTCCTGCCAGTAAGAAGTTCACTTGCTGTTGCCCCGCCCGGAGCGCTGCTTGTTCATGGTGGTCAGCATCTGACTGATGTAAGAGGTCAGCAGGTCGTCCATCTTGTAGCCCTGTAGGTATAATGGACACACACACACACACACACACACACACACACACACACACACACACACACACACACACACACACACACACACACACACACACACTCTCTTTCGTTATTCTAGTTCCACATGAATGTGTTTCAGATTTGTATGGCCGTCCACTGACAATGTTTAATATTTTACTTGATAAGTCATGGTAAAGTTTGTACATTTCAATATTCACCACTCTGTTGGTTTCTCTTCCCTAATAGAAATACTCGTTTCATTAAATATTGAATTTCACTTGCTTCCACATTTTCTTGATGTTGTTGCACTGATGAAATTGTTGCTGTGATCATACTGAATTTATTATGTGAGCCGTTGTAGCAGACAACAGGTTTCCATTCATGCAGGCTGCGCCCCATACTGTAAATACAAGAGTGAGCGTGTGTGTGTCTGTGTGTGTTACTGCCACCCACCAGCGAAGTCTCACACAGCAGTTTGCTTCCTCTAACCAGGTTGCCGATGGTGATGTGGAAGTAGGTGTTCCCACTGCTCCAGTTGGAGATCTTGGTGAAGGGGTGGGTGGTCAGGATGTCCTGCCCAAATACACAGAGAGGGGGTAAGTCTCAGAGGTCTCTGACTGACTGACCCTACAAGGCCCCTACAAGGAACTTTCATGTTGTGTGGATTCTGACGGCCCCTGTGGTCAAATGGTGTAGTGTTTCCACCACCTTGTTTCATTGATTTCAATGGGAATTCAACCAGTTGACAGACATTAAAGAATCACTATGCAGAAATAGAAATCTTCTCACTGATGCTCTTGTTTGTTTGTGTAGATCATATAGAAGCATCAGTATTAAATTGAGACTGTTTCATAACCAGTTAGTACGTTTAAACAGTAAATGTATGTAGCATCAAGGGGAAAAGAGAGAAACACAGTACAGGTAACTGCAGGTGAATGTTTACCATGTGCACATCAAACAAGTCCAAACCAAGCATTAAAATAAATCCTTTAACATCAGACAGAACAATAAATATTTCTATACAAACACAAACCTTCGTCTTTGGATCGATCAAGCTGACTCCATGCTTGTTGATGGCGATCAGCAGGATTTCTGGGAAGTTGGGCTCTGTGGTTTGCTGAAGACAAAAGACATCCAAATATTTATTGATCATCTATCATATCTTATCAATTTGACATGTACAGCAGTAATGTTTCTGTGAAAATGAACTTAAATATGTGTTTTCAGGTGGGCTACACGAGGAGGATACAGAAAAAAAGAGCATTGATTGATTTTATTTTTCCTGAATACTGCCTAAAGAAAAATCAGCAAGCTCTCAACAACACAATATAAGGACCATTAATAATTACACAATGGGAGATTTGTGTGATTTTAACAGTCCCCTCTGGAGATTAGAGTGTAAAAGCAGCAGGGGGTCTCGTGGTGACGTGCATCACAGGTGCATTGTTCCATTTAATAAAATGGATGTAAAAAACGCTTTCTGTGTGGATTTCCCATGAGACACGAGGAAAAGATGTGCGTGAAAGAGTAAGACAACCAAAACAATTCAGCAGGACCAAGTAGGACAGACTGGAAGTGACAGGCTCCGGTGTGTTTACCTTGACCTCAAAGAACGCGGAGCCAAAGGTTGGCCATTTGTAGATGATCTTCAGAAATATCAGTTTGGCCTCTTCCCTTGATTTACCAGCCTGCTTGTTGAAGTACGCAACCACAGACTGTAATCAGACAAACAGAAAATTGGGTTTAAAATTGTCAACTCCAACTCCAGTTGATTGTGTGTCCCAGTTAAACTTTCATTCATCCTATCAACTTCTGAATAAACACCTTCAGTATTTCATGCAAGTAACTTGTGGAAAATAATGTGTGACAACGTTTGCAGGCTACAGTTTTTTCAATGCATAAATACATATTTAATCAACATTTGATATCTTCTGCTACTATGAATATATTTATTTGTACACTGAGCATCTTTGGCACAAATTTCATTCAGGATGAATTCATTTCAATCTCATTTTCTGGTTGTAACTAGAGGTTGTGAACATTGATTACGCTGACACACACAACTGTTTCGGTCTCTTCAACCTGCTGAGCTTACCAGGATCTTTTCAGGTTTGTTTTTGAGTTATTTATAATTTTAGTAACTTTAAAAAGTTGAACACGTAACATAGGTTCACTAAGAGGTCTGAAAGGATTCCTATTAAAGTATTTAATTCTACTCAGTTTGGAAAGGATGCATTCGTGAAGCACAATTTATGTTAGTGTCTTTCGTTTGGTCCCTTATGTTTTAAAATTCTTCAGTAATCTCTAGTTAGCTCAGGTTGCCCCTGTGTCTGATGCCTATTATATTCTAATGTTTAAAAACAGAGATGCATTAATGTGTCTTAATATTGTTTATTGTTGTAAATGGTTGTTTCCTTACTAAGATTTCTTCAGTAACATGTATCTTCAATATTGTTTTAGTAAGACCTAAGATATTTTTATATATTTTAATAAAACAATATTTACTATATGTCGAGTGAATTATCATTTCTAAAATATCTAACATTTACAAAGTTACACGTAGAATCCGACTGGAGATACAGCGAGGTAAAGGAAAAAGTTCAATATCATAGAACCACAGAAAGGACAATTTTGCAGGTTTACCCTTTTCCAGTCATCTGGTGACATCTGACGAATGAGATCCTGAGGAACCAGCTCCCGAAGCATCTTGGGAATTGTAGTAAAGTGGGATTTGTCATCCTCAAACTTGACGCGGTAGATGAGCGCTGCAAGCTGGAAAACCTCTTCTCGTGAACACTTATGGTAGCCACGCAGGTACTTAGGCAGCTCCTGATTAAAAGAAGAGAACGAGGGAGAAGAAGTGTTGCCATTACACACACAAAGGTGCAAATAGAGTATAAATCAAATATAAAGTAGAATCATTTCAACATTGTTGGAAGCAAATTGATGAAGATAGAAGTAGCAGTTAATAATTTTGTTAATTTAAAATAAACTAAAACCTTGGATGAGTGTCTGTGTCAGGTGGAACAAAGTGTTACTGCCTGAAACCCTATTTTCTCCTGTTTCTTAGTATAAATCCCGTAAGACGGACCTGGTAGTAGTGAAAGATGGAGTCGGCGAAGGAATCCTTCCCTGGAACCGTGTTGGTCCACAGCTTCTTCATGAAGAACACCTGATAGGTCAGAGAGGGAACGATTCCTGCAAGCCGGGAGGGAAGAGGGTGAAATATTCGTTTTATTCAGTGTGCAGTGCAGGTTTGTGACAGCCTCCTTCATAAAAGTCATGATATTTCAGAAATCCTGCAGTTTGCAATTGAGCTATTCATAAATAACAAAAATAAGATCTAACATAATAATAACAACAACATTATAACCTTTATGAAGGGAGGATTTATTACAGGACTGGTGTATTAGACAGCATTGGTTGGGCTAGGTGTACCTAATAAACTGTCTGAGTGTATAAGTGAGTAAGTCATGTGTTCCTCTTTTAACATAACTGTTAGTTTCTTCAGTGCAGCTGTAGTTTAATGCGAATATAACTGCACAACTTTAATCAAACGCCAAGGAGAGGACATCCATAGTCTCACAATTATCAAACAGGTTTCAAAGTCCATTGTGTGTATGTGTCTCTCATTAGGCTATTTGTCTAAACTGATGCAGGTACCAACCGTCTTTAGCTGGTCGAGATTTCTTGATCCAGTCCGTCAAATGTCTGACAAAGTCAAAGAAGAAGTCTCCCTCTGGCACACTGATCACCTGTAGAACGACACACACACACACACACACACACACACAGACATATCAACTTGAAATCTTTCTGTTGAAAACAAAACCGAGATATCCACTCATGAGTGGATTGAAGAGAGGATACCGGTTTAAGGAAGGCAAAATAACCTAAATCCTCCTCCTCCTGTCATTCTGATACTATTCTGATAAACTGGGACGAGCCTGCTGTAAAAGCAGTGACAGATTTTGAACATTTGGTTCTGCTTCTGAGAAACAACCATTGACCTCTGACCTTGTCTGAGATCTTGACGAAGAGGCTGAAGCCTTCAGGAGATTTGAGCAGCAGTCTGGTTGAGATGTTCTGGCAGAATTCCTTCGCTTTGGTGCTGGACTCCACCTCGAACGCCTGCAGGTTTGAGACACAAACAGTTTTCAAACGACACTCTCTCGTCTATAAGTGGACCTTTATATACCGACATGTGTTTCATACCTCGTCTGTGTCGTCAGGGAAGTAGACCTTGTGGAAGATCTGCGTTGTCTTATGTTGGATGGCCTCCACTTCCACCAAATGAGGAGGATACTTCCTGGATCCATTACTGTCACCATGACAACAAAGAGAAAGGTCAGTCCAGTTGTGTGTCAGAGGAAGTAAGCTTTGTTTAAAATAAGTTTAAAGTTGTTTTGCCTGAAACAAGTCACTGACTAACTGTTGCTGAGCTTCCCTATTTTCTCAAGTTTCCAAGGTCTGTTTTTATTTCACTTGTTTTCATAATGCCAGTTTTCATCACAACAAACAGTCAGTTGTGTGATTGTCTGTCTGCTCATTCAGACCAAAGCATTATTCAATTGCATAACCGGCTCTCCTCTGTGTGCCAAAGACAAAGACACTCTGATGAAAACTGGCATTATGAAATAAAATGCTCTCTTTGGACAATCAGTATTGTATAAAAAAAAGAAAGAAAACACCTTGGAAAAATTACATAATCATTTATTGAGGATTTATTTATCATTTATCGTTTTCAATATTCACTAGGTTGTTTAAGTTTTATGGTTATACCTCTGTATTTATTTATTCCTATTATTTCATCAGGAGAGGTTCCTTATTTAATACATTTTGTTTCCTGCATTTATTAGACAGTAAAGAAGGTGACAGGAAATTAGGGATGATGTGCAACAGAGATTGCTGGCCAGACTCAAACCTGTGATGTTGAATTTTATGATGAGCATTTTAAAACTCTGAGACATCAACATGTCACTCTGTAAACTAATGAACAGTGCAATTTGTTTACATTATGTCTCCCTGCTGGCTCAACTGGTAATCAAATACATACACCAGCACCAGTCTGCCCACTCAGAGGCTTTAAGGTTGAAGGAGCATTTCTGATGTAATATGTCTTTTACTTCACGGAATATCGTCAGCGTATGTGCACTGTAGTTTTTAAGTTTCAACGTCAAACACGTACTGGGTCACCAGTGGCTTCCAAACTTGTTGTGATGACCCAGTTTATACAATTATACAATGTGCAGGTGTTATACTGAGATTTAAGATGACCACAGAGAAACCTCCCCCTTCAGCAGATTAACTTAAACATCCAACAATAAGCATATTATTTAGTGAACTTAAACAGGTGACAGGCTCATGTGAACCAACTCTCATTAACCTGAAGTTCTCAATAACAAGAACGAGTTTTACCGTAGAGCTTTGTGCAGCCTCTGCATGCAGTCTACCGAGAGCGGGTGGTGTTTCTTGGACTGGAGGAAGCGCTGGATGTGTGGCAACAGTACGTTACTGGGAGGAAACAGACCAGTACACAACCACAGCAGCTCCCAGCCTTTCTCCTCACTGTACCTGCAAGAGCACAAAACTCATGTTCAGCTCCTGCATATAAAAATCTGCTCTGTCTGAATGATTAACATCTTCATCAGTCTGTGTGTTAGCTCCCTCTGCAGGTTTTAAAGACCATTATGACTGCAATTTAAGACCTTTTTCACATCCATACTGGCAACAAAAAGTACGAAGAAAATAAGTATTGGTTCCATGTCAGTTTCATTTTGTAGTTGTTACAGCATGATCAATACACATTCTTTACATTTAAAAGCGAGACTGAAAATTGTATAATTTTATAAAAAAAAATGTTTTGTTATTTTACACCTTAGTAGTAAATTTATAAAAGATCCAGTGTGAATTAATGGAAAAGTTTTGAGATACAAATGAACACCAAGCTATTCTCAGTACACTGATCAGAGCAATCGTAATTTTACACACTTGACGTGGTTGTCAGTGAGCTGTTTGATGATCTGACAGTAGATCTCATCTTTCAGAGGTTCGGCCTTCAGCGCTCCTTCAAAGATCTGGTCTGTCAGCTCATTGACTGAGCGCGTCCTTTTGGATGGGTAGTCGCCCATGTACTTCATCATAGGTGGGACAAACGTCAAGGAATAAAACAACTTGATTAGCTTGAATGCAAATGTATAATGTACATGAATATCTGGATGTGACACAGAGAGTTCAATTCTGAAATGTCTGTGCTCGTTGAAACAAAGCTGCAGCCGAACCTGTAAGATTATAGATTAAAATAAAAGATTTAACTACTTATGTTGCTGCTTTTTATTCTCAGGGTTTCTGCAGGTTTGAATATGTTCAATTTAAAACATTATGAAGACCATGAATGCAGTTTAAGCTACCTATTTTACATCCATACTGGCAAAAACTTTATACAAGTAACATTAATTTAATTAATCCAGTTCATTTTTAAACCCTTTAAATCTTAATCTCAGATTATTGGATTTTACTTGAACTGGTAAATGCAGAGTTAACCGAGTCAGTTTGGTAACCAGCTTTATAAATGTTGAAATGGTCAAGACAGTTGGTCTTAAACTGCGTCACATCAGCTGTTTAAAGGATATCTATGAAAGACATGCAAGCGTCCTGAGCCAGTTCCTCATGGCTGACGACCTTCTTCAGCAGCGGCAGCTTGAGCGGCTCTCTGGTGCAGCTCCACATCTTGTCCTTCCCACGATTCTTGGTGACCATCACTCTGCTCAGGGTGTGTTTGGGGGGAGGCCTGGAAGGAGTGACATGTTGAAATGTTGATTAAAACTGAATTTGCAATCTAAGATGATGCCAGGAGGTAAGGTCAATAACATTGGAATTGGAACACATGAATGGATTTTTATTGTATTTGTATTTGCTGTGGCACAAGTAAAAACACACAGTACACAAACGGAGTAAAAGCACACACATAGTGGCTAAGGATGTAACAATACAATCAACTTATGATTTGATACAATTCACAATATGAAGAAAAGATTTTCCCAAGATAAATTATTCCTTTTATTTCTCCAACAAAACTCTAAAAAAAAATATTTTCTCTAATATTTTCTTTATCAAATTATAGCGTTAGGGTTAGGCATAAACTGTGCAAAACAATTAATATTTAATTTTCTTTGTAAAACTGAAGCTGATGTCTTTGTGCCTTGAAGTGATGTAAGACATTGATCAAGCAAAGTCAAAAGTAGATAGTGCTCTCTGCTGTTTAAAAAGAGTATCAGGATTAATTTCTCATCCCACTGATTTAAATCTTAAATTTAGTTTACACAGAAGAATAATCTAAAACAGTAAGAAAGAAACTGAACTGCTACATTACTGTGCTTTTGTGTATGTGAGTGTGTGTGTACCTGCGTGCTTTGTGTTTGTAAGAATGTGTACCTACCTGTGTATATTGTATATGATTATTGTGTGTACCTGAAGTAGTCGTAGGAGAACTCCTCCAGTGTGTAGGGTTTCATCTTGTCGTCACTCTCTGGCATGACGAGCTGCGAAACACGAACCGACTCCTGACGCTGATCCGGTGTCATGGTTACCAGCGCCTGATTGGTTAGATTACTGTACATTAGATTACATTGCATTCATTTTACAGATATTCTTAGCAGAACAGATTAAGTGGTCCTGAAACTACTGAACTTCTGGTTAAATTACATTTTACTTATACTATTTTTAAAATACTTTTAGAATTAAAAACACTCAAATTAAGTTTCAGCAGCTGTGACACTCACACACTGTGCGTTCTGCCAATAACACGGAACAACTTCCTCTCCATTAAAAATAACGAGAAGAGGAGGAAGTCAGTGCTGGGAAGACGAGTCTCCTGATAAAGTTCATGTCATTAAAGCTTTTTTAACTCACTACTATTTCTTGCGGAGGTCGGGTCATGGTGGGCAGGACGTAGACACAGTCAGCCGGGAAATCTCCTCTCTGATTGGTTCGTTCGTTGATGCCGTGTGCCCAACCAGAGTTCAGGACCTGCTCGCCGGTGTCCTGGTCCAGCAGGATCAGGTCTCCCTTCAGGAAGCTCAGGAACGTTGACTCCTCCCCGGCTGTGGAAGGACGAGTTGTACTGAGCTGAGATGATTACTGCCATTTCTACTTATTGCTCGTATTTAAAGTACTAATAATAAGTAATATGATCTCTCCAACGTATAATGTACACATGCACTCCTCAAATTAGTCATCTCCTTTCCCGTTCATTTCTAGGCTTTTGAGGAACAAAACCACCAGAACATAAAAGAAGAATGTTTCCATCACTGTTCAGGCCTTACTGGGGTTGGGGTTGTCCTGCAGCGCCACCACAAACTTCGACCTCTTCCTCAGGCCTTCCAGGAAGGTCACCACCAGGTCGCGGATGTCCTCTGCGTTGTTGGAGGTAAAGGTGTACTCTTCTCCTTTGATGGTCGCCAAAGTGAAACTCTGACTCTGCAACTTCCCTCCCCTTAAAGAACAACAAGTCCTTTAAATCAAAAACAACAAAATCTCCAGAATGTCACACATAAGCATTTTCTGATTTGATGTCCTTCAGCAGGACGCGTCGTTTTGTAAGTTCCCCCCAAAAACTGTTACAATAACAAAAGTTAGTTAGGGAAAGATCGTGGTTTGGGTTAAAATAACTACTTGGTTTCCTTTAACCATGATGTTGAAGGCTCTTTAACCTTAACCAACGTAACCAATTCGTTTTTGAAAGAAGAGACAAAGGGGACGATATGCTAAGGAAGGCAGGTTGAAATGTAAAAGTAAAATAATCAAAAAGTGCAGAAATGGAAACACATACCAGAGACAGGAATTTAGGAGGAGGCAGGAAGTACATGAAGGAGGAGGTAAATAAAGAACAGGGAGAGATACCAAGGTTAACTGTTAAGGAACTAGAGCTCCCAGAATGCCTCACCGGCTGCTGGAAACTGCAGTGATTTCTGGGAAGGAGAGCTCTAAGAGGACCTGCTCCTGTTCGTCCACAAAATAAACTCCAGTCCAGTTGACGGCGACGATCAGGTCGTTTTTAGGTAGACTGGGACCTGAGAGGAAGAGAGGAACAGAACAAAGTTTTACACCTGCTCTGCTTCAGTACAGATTATAGATCTGTTCAATAGATCTGTATCGCAGACTGTAACTTGTAGAAATAACATAAATAGAAAGGTACATTTGGTTTATTACAGTGAGAGCAAAAAAGAATCTACAGTCTAGTTAGTTTGTGAAAGACCACAGGTACAGAAAGTCTGACGTGATATTAAAAGACTGATAACAGAGACTTTACAGCTGTTTTCATTATTTTTCCTGAATGAGATTCACTTGGAACAGAAAATAATAAGAAAAGAACAGAAGAAAATAAGGAAAACCTTTAAGTTCTTGAAGAAATAATAAACAAAGCTGCAAAGCATTTCTCTTAATGATTCAGATTCTACATATCATATCATTTTATGATTAAATATGAATAATCATGTCATTCTTGTTTCCACAAGTAGTTTTTAGTTTTTGTTCTGTTATTTTTTCTTTCTTGCCTTTATGGTCGAGTCAACTGAGCCACACACGTATCCATGATATAATGATGATCATGTTTTATATGTGAGATGACTTCAATGTATTAACCCAATACCTGGCAAATTAAATGTACAATGAAAGTAATTCATACAAATCCAAATGATTCTCTTTGTTGTGTTTTGGATGATTGGATATTGATCGGTACATCCTCCCTGCCTATTATCACATGTTTAGATGTAAAAGAGATTGTAGATGCTCACCTGAGAACTTGAAGGCTTCGTAGAAACGAGAGAAGAGCAGAGGCCACTTGTGGCGAGCAAAGTCCACCACTTCCTCTTTCACCTTCTGAGGGTCAAACCTCTTCTGGCTGTAGATACCCTGAGCAGAACAGAGAGGTATTTTACTATGTTACTGTGTCAAAGGAGTAATAGCTATGAGGTGTCTTGGTGGCAGATGTTTTTACATACAGTCAATGTATATGCAAATATATGCAAATTGATTTATATGCTCCAATATGAAAGCAAACTCAACCAAGAATAACATTCCCTGTGGCTCATCAAAAACTGTTCACAGAATATTAAAATACCATCAGGATTCAGGCAAGATTGATGGATTGATTGCATTAGTGTTGATGTTGGGATGTTGATGAGCACCTTTTTGTGTGCAGCCATGATGAAATGAGTCCATTTCTCCACCGACCGGGAGCTGCTGATCTCCCTGTCGGGGATGTAGGAGGGGATGAGGCTCAGCAGGCGCTCCAGAAGGATCTCTGAACCGTAGTCAACATAATACTGCTGAGAGGCCAGTTCTGCCAGGTCATCCTGGGGACACGGAGAGACAGATACTGGTAACAGAAACATGTAGAGGCAAGTTGTATCTATTGTACCTGAACACCATGTTGTTTTATCCTACATTTTCAAGGGCTAAGATTGAATCTTTGGACAGAGACAGGCTAGCTGTTTCCCCCTGTTTATAGTCTGTGCGCTAAGCTAACTGGCTGCTGGCTCCAGCTTCATACTTGGCACACAGACATGATCAATCTATCTATCTAACTTTCTACAAGAAAGCAAATAAGCAGATTCCCAAAATATCAAACTGTTGCTTTAAAATAAAGAACAAAACAAAGAGAGACGCACCCTGTCACAGCGGTATTCTCCGAACTTGACTCCCCTGACGGTTTGTTGGTAGATGAGGTTGGTAGCAACCTGGTCGTCAGCGGGGCAGTGCCAGGGCGTGAAGATCTCCTTCCTGAAGAACAACCTCCAGGGGGCGTTCCTCTCCTGGGCTCCCTGCTCCTTCGCGTACTGCTCACACTGCGACACGGCATCCATCACATGGTCGTTCCCACTGCCTAAAGAGGAGACCTGCAGGAGGAGAAGATACATTTAACACTTCCTCAGGTTGTTTGAGTCTTTGTTTTAGGGTTAAAGATTCCCTCCAGACTTGTTATACGTACTTATAAGTAAATATTCATTTAAATTATGGTCCCGTGTATAACATCTAGTGGTGAGATTGCAAATTGCAACCAACTGAATACTCCTCGCCTAACCCCCCCCCCTTCCAAGCACAAACCGTTCTGGTTCATAACTATGAATATTATATTCCATTTCTGCCAATAGATCCTTCTAAATGTTGCACACTGGACCTTTGAATCAAAATTTCTTTACCTTATCAAACAGTGCGATGTACAGTGAGAACCCGAAGCGGTCCCGCAGGTTGATTTTGTCGGACAAGGCGCTGCAGAGCTCCTTGGCTGTGGTTGCCGAGTCCGTCAGCAGTGTTTTGGTCGTGCCGTCCATAAACGTCACCGGTAGCATGATGGGCTTCTTCGACTTGGTGGCCTGGATAGAGATTTCAGAACTTTGGTCGAGTTGGTGTCCAACTGAAATGTCTGTTTCTTTCCATCTATGGAATTATTTTTAAGGTTCCTCTCATCATTTACAAAACACTTCACTGTCTCGCGCTCGACTACTTCAGGAACAGAAGATCAGTCAAGTCAATTGTATTAACTCTAGTGTCATACAGAGTAACCTACCAACAGTCAGGTTTCAAACAGAATACGCACCTAGGTTTACGTAAGAGATCTGAGTGAAGCTAAAATACTAATTTTATTTTAAGGCCAACAGAGATTATTTCCAGGATATCATTTAAATCAGGTGTTTCCATGACTGGAAAACTAGTCTCTACATTTTCAGATTTTCTAGGACGTTTGGGAATCCTGTTAAAAGTGTGTGTGTTTGTGTGTGTGTGTGTGTGTTTGTACCTGCAGCTCCAGCCAGGACGGGGGTTGTGTTCTGGTCCCGTTGACAAATGTTCGTCTCAGTCTCTCTTCACAGTACGGAGCGTAACCCGGCGGCCCGCTGATGATGAAGTTCCTCAGGTACTTAAAGTAAAGAAACAAACAAAAAAAAGTCCAAATATACTTTTGGATACAAACAAGGTGTGCATTCCTGTGGCAGGATCAAGACAGCATCATCACGAAAAAGTAATTTACTAACAAGTGAAATATAATTGGTACATAGTGTAGATTCCGGTTGTATGCAAATCTAGCAAAACTAGAAAAACAAAACTGCTCACTTGAATTCAATCTGCTTTTTATAAAACAAACAAACAAACAAACCAACTGTCCTTTTAGGATAACTACCATTATCCTAAATGATGAGTACATAATTTCAGACTTCTTCCTTCTGTGTATTTAAATTTAAAACATCATAAAAATCAAAGAAAGTCCGGTCGTTCTGACCTTCACAAACTTGTCTGATGGAGCGAAACAGCCGACACACAGAGAGATGAGGATCCAGCCCCGAGCGTGAGAACTCTTAGACGGGTTCTGACTCAGCTGCTTACAGATCTGACAGTAGATCTCATCCCTAACACACAAACACACCAAGTTACACACAGCTGACTCTTTAAAATCATTTCTAGGCACATTTGGGAAGATAGAAATATCTAAATAAATATGTTTTTCTTCTGTGTTTGTTTCTTTTCCAATAACAGCAAATATATTATTTTTGTTTCATAAATGCAAGAATCAAATTAAAGCTATAAAATATACCTTGATGTATTGATGCATACAATGAATTTATGTGATATTTATTATAGATTTGGAAACTACATTTTGCCAGTGACTCTCCATCATGACCCTCTGTGTGTGTGTGTGTGTGTGTGTGTGTGTGTGTGTGTGTGTGTGTGTGTGTGTGTACCTCAGTGCTGGCCTCAGGATCCCGTTGCCAATAATGAAGTGAAGTTTCTCCAGGTTGGATGTTGGCCGGTCCTCCAGCATGCTGTTGCCGTGGAGACTGTACTCACCATCGTTAAGGCGCTTGGTGACCTGAAATGCATCACACTGTAACTTTTCTAGTTCTGCAACGTCATCAGAAAGGAAGTCAGCTTTTATATTCCCCTTTGTCTCTCTTACCTCCTCAGTGATCTTGGACTTCTTCTTCAGGGTGAGGGACACCAGTTTGTGTCGGACACTGTTCTTCTTGTGGCTGTCAGAGTGCGGCGTCTGCAGACAGGACAAGACAGGAAACAGCTCATAGACCAATCAGAGATGCTCCCGCTCACAGCATGCACGATACATAACAACTGCCAATAATAGAAGGAAACTTTATAAATCATATCTCTCCAACCTGTCCCTTTCCTTACCTCCCCCTCCCCCTGCAGTGCCTGCAGCTCTCTCTTGTAGGTCTTCTTTCCCAGTGTCTCATAGATTTTGGTCATGACAGGGATCTTCTCGCTTCCGTCGCTGATGGCCGTGTGGTACTTGGGCTCCGGCAGATCTCCCATGAACCTCAGCACTGTGATCCACACCGCCAGGGCAGCCTGGTCCAGGACAATCAATGAAAAAAGACTTTTAATGCCGACTTTCCAGCCAAACATGAGCAACTTTCAGAGAAGCAGTAAAAATCTTTGTGGAGTCAGAGGTCAAAGGTAAGCTACCAGCTGGTCTCCCTCGTCGTCGTGGAACAGCAGAGGCTGTTTGAGAGGCCGTCGGACGTATGTGTGCGTTGTGGTGCCCTGGAAATAGGTGGCGGCAAACTTAGCGAACTTATACTCTGATAAATCCTCCTCTTCATCGTCCTCAGGCAGAGGAAGAGCCTCGTCCAGATCCTCCTCCATCAGCTCCTGATGGGTCCGCTCCAGGTCCTGCAGAGGAGGCCGGGACAACCAATTTCACACTTATATATATATATTTTTTTTAAATAATTTTTAGATCACTGAAGACCTCTATAGGGGGTTTGTGGTTTTTGAGTATTTAGTGGAGAAAGGAGAAAATAGTGGATTTTATCTCATACAACTTTTGTCAGCTCACCTCAAAGCCGGCGGGGGCTTGTCCTTCCTGGCCCGGGAAAGAGGCCGTCGTCCCCAGGAAGCCAAACATCTTGTCCACCATGTCGGAGTCGTTGACGGGCTCCAAACGGGCCTTCTCCATCTGCTCCACCATCTCCTTCTTCCTCCGAGCCTCCTCCTTCTCCTTCTTCTCCCGCTCGGCATCCTCTTTGGCCAGCTGGGCCAGACGCTCCTGGAAGAGAAAAATATCACATTCGCTTTGAAACACTGGTGTAATGATGAACTAATATATAATATGAAATAATAGAGACTTGTTCCACACTGCCACCTCTTTGGGTTCCCTAATGAAAATACAGATATGCTGTTTGATACCTACCCTGGATTCTTGTAAACGTAAGAGGAATATTCTCTAAAAGAAACTCAAGATCTTCCTAACTTAAATAAGACATTACATCATGCATTCATTTATAGATGATACATGTACTGAGGTTTTAAATACACCTTTTAATCCCACCTGGTGTTTGCGCTCAGCCTCGGCTTTCGCTTTCTTCGCAGACATCTGATTCCTCAGTTTGGTCTCTTCTGCCAGCCGCATCTTCTCCGCCTCCAGCCGCCGGTTGTACTGAAGGGGGAGAGGAAGGAGTCCAACACCCGGTTACCAAAACACACAGTGGGCTGTTTGTCTTGTTAATGTCTATTATATTATATTATATTATATTATAGGATTATTGCTATGTCAACACGTAAAAAAAGCATTTCATTGTCATCATGTTAACAATTTGAATTAACATCTGCTCTGTGTTATCTGTATCTGTCTCTATCAAACAAACTATAATTAGATAAATACAGCTATAAGTACAACATCGCCTACCTCTCCCTTCAGCCTCTTGTACAGCCGGCGGGCGATCATGCCTCTGGTGTAGGCCTGGATGGTGATGACGGCCCACAGCCGGTGTCTGAACGCCCGGCGTACCAAGAAGCCCCGACAGCGACCCTGGAAGCCAGTGATTCGCTGACGGGCCACGTGATAAGACGCACACAACTTCCTGGAACGAACCAGAGCCTGGAGGCGAGAGAAGCCTGCTCGCATCTGAAAGGAGAAGAAGAAGAAGAAGAAGAAGAAGAAGGATTTGTTTTGAATTTGTTGTGTATGTGTGTGATGTGGGGGTAAAAACAGAGATGCTCCTCACAGCTCCATAGTTCTTCCTGCATTGATATCCTCTCCACGTCTTCTGGATAAACACAGCCGACTTCCTCATCTTCAGGAAGTTAGATCTGATGACAGGAAATAAAAAGTCAGAAATTACTTTGTGTGTTTCAGTTTTGTTGAATCTTCAACTGGAAAAACATTTAACCACCAAGAGAGAAAACGGCATTGCTCTTTAAGATCTAATTTTAGAGAGTAAGACACTGAAATCTGGTTTTCAAGGCCTACCTGTCCTTGAATCCTCGAACCACCTTCTGGATGAGGATGACCTTGTCTGTGATGGCCTTGTCTCTCTCAATCTCCAGCAACATGTCATGGTGATCCTAAGATAAGATAAGATAAGATAAGATAAGATAAGATAAGATAAGATATTCTTTATTTATCCCCCTTAGGAGAAATTCAGGTTGACACAGCAGCAATGGGGCAAAAATAGTGCACAACAGAGAACAAAGAATATCACAAATATTACAAAATACAAAATATAATAGAAGCTATAAAACTATAAATGAAAGTATATACACTATGCATTGTTCAAGTAGGACATGGAGTGCAAAATATGAGCAGAAAATTAAACTTGACTAAAAACTAAAACTAAACTGTATGAGTGGAAATTAAATATAAATAGTGCAAAAGGTTTGTGCGTTGTAGGTAGGAGTTTTAAACCAGTCTCTGCGGGGGTTGGGGGTACTGGGTGCTGTGGCGTTATGGAGTCTGATGGCAGACGGAACAAACGAGCCTCCGAACCGCTTCGAGGCTCGGGGCTGGATCAGTGTAGAGAGGATGAGAGGGGTTGTCCATGATGGCTTTCAGCTTCCCTCTCATCCTCTTCTCAGTCACAGCCTCCACGCTGTCCAGCTCCATCCCCTCCACCAAGCTGGCCTTTCTCACCAGCCTGCTCAGCTAGTTGTTTTTAAAAGGATCCCTTGACCAAGACATCTGAAGGACAATGGGTTCTCCCCCACTTAATGTCAATTGAATGCAGTTTGGGGCAAAAACCAAGCAGTATTTTGCATGTGGTATAAATGTGTTATTTTCTCCTAGTTTATTTCAGTATTTCTGTATTCTGGTGTCCATAAAAAGTATTGGAATTGCATAAATTGGGAATGACTTGAAAGCTGAGACCCATACTTCAAGCACCCCTGCATAAGTCAGTGCCCCAACCCCGTCTGGAAACACCCCTGTTGCCAGAGTCACCTTCGAGGCTGAAAAAAAAGAGCATAAACGCCTTACACATCTTATATCTCTTCCTCCTGTGATCTGTCCATCCATCCTGTCAGGGAAGTGTGGGTACTGCCCTGCCTTCACCCCCCTGCACTTTCTACTTCCTGTTCTGCTTCCTGTCCAGCCGAGCAGAAAGGCCTGATAGAGATTAGCCTCAAGTCCAGAAGAGTTCATTTAGTTACTGATGGTCCCATTTAGAGTAAAACAGACCATAAAGCAGGGTATGCTTTAGGGCGGGGCTACCTTGTGATTGACAGCTCATTCTCAGTGAGTACGTCCAGCTCAACGCACCAAACTCAGATCAAACTGTCAAACAGTGCTGATCAGATATGGATCCAGATTCTGTTACTGCGTTTATCTGGAATATGAGATTGTGTGACCAGGCGAGCTGCCATTGTTTGCTGCTACGGACGAGTCAAAACTGCAGCTCAACTCAGTACGTCACCTCCGCTGGCTCCGACAAACTGTCATGGCGACGACTATAACTCAAGGATTCAAAACAATTCAGTGGGTGACGTCACAATGGGTTCAAGTAAAACACCCACTATAATATTTAGTAATATTTAAATCTTTAAATTAATGCCAAAGACATAAAACTAGATGTTATCAGCCAACTGGAGGCCAAAATAAAAAAATGTTTGCCTTCATCTTCAAATGACTGTGAGTCTGTGTACAGCATGGAAACAAAGTGTAGTGTAAAATGTGTAGAAACCAGCTGCTGAAGGACCAACAGGGGGCGCTGTACAGGAGCCACACACTGTGAAAACAAACTGCTGAGCCTGAATCATCATCAGCCGATATTTTCATTCAACCTCTGGGGAAAGAAGTGACACCGTCACCGTGGCAACCAGCTAACGGACGTGCCTTACCCCTGACTTCTGACATCTGTCCTCACTGGGCGAGAAACCAAACACGCAGCTTTCATCAACAGACATGTGAACTGGAAACAATCCCAGCAGAGCCTCACTACTGGGATGAACTGGGTCATTACCAGTCAGCTTCAGTCAACACTTTCTCCAGGCTGCACCCAAACATCTCACTCTTTCATCACATCGTTCATCCCGTCACCTCCCTTCACTGCAGGAGTACCTTGAGGAAGATCTTGGTCTTTCCCATCTGCCAGTCGTCGTCTCTGCCCAGCACGGCCTCAGCGATCCTCTGACAGGTTCCCCTCAGGTCCTCCTGATGGGCGAGAGACAACAGAATGAGAGAGAGAGAGAGAGAGAGAGAGAGAGAGAGAGAGAGAGATTAACATGTCGTATCTTTGTCTCACAAACAGTGTGTGTGTGTGTGTTTGCCGCATTCACACTCTCCGATGAAAACACCACTAGAGCTCCACTAGTCTCATCAATGAGCCACACTCTGGGTTCCCACTCTTTTTAAGAAATCATTTTCCAGGACCTCTCCAAGACACTTTCCTGGAGTTTTCTCAACAATACAGGACAACACTTGCTGACAAACCTATAATGTACAGATAGGCCTAGTTTACCCTTTTTCCCTAGTTTTATTCCTCCTTTTTTAACGATGTGGGGCTCATGATGAAGTGACGCAGGTTCATTACAGGTAGGTGGTCAGAGTTTACGGGACAGTTAAAATCCTCCATTATTTCCAGGATATTTGATGATTCTAATCAATTTCAAGTGTTTCAAAACCAATCTGTAAATATCCAGGTTTTCCAGGACACACACTGTTTACTGGGTTTGTTTACAACCGCATTACCCAGCTCACTGAGCCTTTTATTAAAATGAATATAAATATTCAGGACCCATTTCTAAATATTTACGTCTTCAGTAGGAACCAATGGGTTCGGAGCTGAGAGCCACAGACAGGACGTCACACAGTACTGACAGACAGACAGACAGACAGACTAATGCATTGTTGCTTTGGTAGAAGTTAAATATGTCATGACTTTTGCAGGAATTCGTTAATCAACTAAATTATTAAATCAAGTTGAAATTTTTACCTGAAGATGGCGCTAGACGGAAAGAAACATGAATATCTGGATAAATATGAGAATTTGCTGTTGTACATTTAATTTTCTTATAGACTTAATACTTTTGTGACAATTTCTCCCAAAACAATATGACTGTGATGAACATTTGAGAGCTCAGACACCTTAACAACATCTCAAACTTCAACTCAACAAGTCTAATCTTACAGACACAAAAGCTGACTCAGCTGTTTCAGTTGAGCTGTGTGTGTGTGTGTGTGTGTGTGTGAACTGTTTATACAAACACACACACACACACACACACACACACACACACACACGGAGGAAACCATAATATGTCTGGGTCCAAGGAAAACAGACTGCTGTTGGATTGTGGGAAAAACTGCTTGGTGACCAAACACAGTGTCACACAGGTGGTGTCATCTGATTGGTTCCAGTCATCAGAAAACACACACACACACACACACACACACACACACACACACACACACACACACACACACACACACACACACTCTGGTTTGGCCTCAGTTTGGTGTCCGATATTTAAGCACTTTTAGGGCAAACTCTTCCTCGACAGTACAGCACTTGCTCACAATGTTGGTCTGCGTTTCTGGGATTCTCATTATAAGGTAGAAAGTATGTTATTAACAATTACCAACCACAACAACAAATGTAAACTTTACCATTATTAATAAGCATGTAGATCTGTATTCTGTGTGAGGGGCTGAAATACAATTCAAATCTTCCAGGACAACATCGTTCATTTCCAGGATATTTGGTCATTTTAAAGGCATACTATGCAGTTTTCCTGTTTTGTCAAACAGCTCCCCCTAGAGTCGCTGCGGAGTACTTGTATTTAACGTTAACTGTCGTAAAAACCACTCACCAGAGCGTCTCTATATACGGCTCTGCACTCACGGCCTGACCCCCCTCCCCCCTGTATATGTTCAGTAGGATGGAAGTGTCGGACATCGAACAGGCAAAGATAGACTCCGGAGATGTCTACTGACCAGGTAACGTCTGAGTGAATGCCTGCTAGTGTCTTCCATTGAGGCTGCTTCTTATGTCGCTGATGTTTGTGACGTCATGCCGTAAAGCAATTTGTGATTCTCGCGAGATTTGGCGGGGCGCCACCTTTCAGACTTGCATTGCTGGTTCTGCCAGTGGCGTCCCTCTCCTGCTTTGCTATCGGGATGATTCACTATACTACGAGTTCGTTTACCATCGAAATGACTTCGAAGCTGTTATATTAAGGTAAAAATCTTGCATAGTGAGCCTTTAATCCATTTCCAGGTGTTTCCATGACTGGAAAACTAGTCTCTAAATTTCCAGGACGCATGGGAACCCTGAATATCTGATGTTGTAGCACATAATCTTTTCAAACACACCCACACACACACACACACACACACCCCTGTAGGCCCACTCTACCTGTTTGTACGCCGGTTTGACTCCAGGCATGAGCACTCGGTAGCGGTCGACAAACTCCACGAAGGTGTAGCGGATGGGATATCCAGCGCGGCGGATACGAATGGTCTCCATCATACCGGAATACCTCAGCTGACGCACACACAGCTCCCGGTCAAACAGCTGCAGACACAAACACAACAGCAGGGACTGAGTGTGACGCTAAAGCGCTGAAGGTTGTTGTTCCTTCTCATTACATCCTCCAGAAATCAGCTGATCAACACAACTTCAGTTTTCATTTTTAGTATGTTCTATTTTTCATGCATCTCAGCACCGGTTGGCCCTCCAACTTCAATAAGTTAAAAAACACAATCATCAGAGTCTGACTGGTGTTTTAATCCCTGTTCATGCTGAATTTGTAGTTTGTATTATTAGTAATGTTCACAGAAGTTATTGGTGGAAAAACCCCAGTTTGTGGTACATTTGTCTTTGATTAACATTTTCTGATTAATTATTTAAAATATGTTGAAGCCGGACAGTATTTATTTAAATGCTGCTTTTATTTTACACGGAAGAAGAGATTAATGTCAGAATAAAAGCAACCTCTTATTACAGGCTTCCCACTCTTCTTAAGAAATCATTTTCCTGAAGTTTCCTTGATCACACAGGACAGTCAGCTGTTCTCACCACAGCCAAAGTAGAATTTATCTATTTAACAGAAAATCAGTCTTCTCAGTCTCATTATCAACCACAACAACAACAACGTGTGTAAACGTGATCATCAATAACAGGCTGTATGGTTTATAGGTTTGATGCCAGGTCAATTGTTAATTTCCAGGTTTTCCAGATATTCCAGGATGCAGGAACCCTGATATTAGTGATATGACATAATTATCATTACTGATTACCTCCTTAGTTACAAGTTACTTAAAAATAAAATGTTTGACTCAGAAAGGCGTGTAAAGGAAGTTATTTCAACACAGAAACGTGGGTCAGATGAAGGTTTTCAACACATTAAATACAGTTAGTTAGTTAATTAATTAGTTAGTTAGTTAGTTAATTAATTAATTAGTTAATTAGTTAATTAGTTAATTAATTAATTAGTTAGTTAGTCAGTTAGTTAGCTTGCTTCAGCTGTTTGACACTGTGTTGTTTCCACTGTTTGCTTTGACACTGACATTGTCACTGTGATTAACTTCAGTATTTGACTTTTAAATGTGTTTACATTACTTTGTCAACCCACATAACTCATAATGCATTTAAACACAATTATTGACTGAACTTGCTGATTAATGCTTTGTTTTCCAGCGGCTGCAGAGTCAGTCTACCAGTAACCAACTGGTTTTACTCTTTACTGCACCGCTCGTCAACTAAACCCCTAAAAACTGAACATATTCTAATAATTAATTGATTGATATTAGTAGCAGACACTCACCATGGGTTTCTTGTATTCGTTGGGTTTGATGCAGCGAACGAAGAACGGCTGACAGACGCTCAGAGTTCTCATCAGCAACTCCAGAGATCTCTTAAACTGACTGCTGAGAGTGGGCGAACGCTTCCTGGTCTCTGCCCCCTACACACACACACACACACACACACACACACACACAGAGAGAGTGAGACAGCGTGGAAAGTGTCAGGGTCAGAAACAATGAGAACTCCTTTCTCTCTTCCTGACACAAACCCCTTTCCTCTCTCTCTCTCTCTCTAAATATAAAGTCTTTGTCTGGCTGACGCTGCAGGTTCAGAGTTCAACAGTGAAACCAGAGCAGAAACTCTATCAGCTGCAATTATCAGTCCACTAATTGATTATTAGTCTATGAAAGAGGATTCACCAGCAACTGTTATAAAGCCAAAATGACCAATACGTGCCGCTTCCAACTTCTCAAATATGAAGATTTGGTGCTTTTTCTTCATCATGAGTTTTAATAAACTGAATATTTTTGGGCTTAAGACTGTTGGTCAAATGAAACAATCAATTTAAATACATCTGTAGGGCCGTGGGGAATTCTTAAGGGCATTGTTCAACTTTCTTTTATATTTTAAACACAAAACAATTATAAATTTAATTACATTTAAATGTAACATAACAATTTAATCAAATACTATAACAGCACTGCCAAGAAGAGATTTAGGGATTCACATCACTTTATATAAAAGTTCAAATGTTTTTTTAAAAGCACATTAAATTTAAGGGGAATTAGCTCATCTTAAAAAAAAAAAAACTTAGCACAAAACACTGGAAACAGCTAGCCTAGCCCCATCAAAGCGGCCTTATCTAAGCTACATATGTTTGTATTTAACACACAAAGGTACATACAGTAAGACATTTGATTTAGCGAGTAGTTAACCTGTGCACTGAAGTTATTTACTGACCGACAGCTCAGAAATCCGCCCCTTAAAGTTCAAGTGCTGGTGTTACACCGTATTCGGTTACTGGTCTGATTGGTGTCCCCTCTCACCTCAACATGACCCCGACAAGAAATCTCTGCAATCACCAACTTTAACCTCAAAAGAGTTAGTAATTTTTCGATGGTTTTATTTTGAAAGTGTTCGCCGGAAACGTGTGTACGGTGTTGTGTGTGTCTTTACACTGCCGGAGCTGACCGCTGACGCGACTGTATTTAGAAACGTGTGTTTGCTGCCCTCCAGTGGTCATAGTGAGGAACTACAACACTACAATAAATCTCTGGTATATTATAAAGATTCAAGGTTGTTTTTATTGTAATTTAAAACGCAAAAGCTGTAAAATGAAATTCGGATAACGTTCCCTTTATGCTACTTAAATAAAACTAATCCTTCATAAAAAAATATTAATTTGTGTGATGAATTGTTGAGGAAGAATTTAACAATCTCACAGCATGAGGAAAGAACCTGTAAATGTACAAGTCAATATCACTGTAATTATTACAAATGACAACTTTAACAGTAGTATGAGTAAAATAATCATTAATAAAGTTATTTTTAATAAAGTTTTGTGGAGATTTTTTGCTGAATTCCCTAAACTGGTGGAGCTAATTGTTAACGATTCCTTGTAGAAGAACAAGAGTATTTACTGCCCCCCTGTGGCCATAGTGAGGAACTACATCAAGCTGATACGTCAAGCTAGACATGATAACGTGACAACAATGCTACAACTTCCGGCCACGGCTTTCAAAATAAATCACTGACAAGTGAGTTTTTGAGGTTAAAGGTTTAAAATGTGACATGATAAAGTTTAAGGCTCCAACTCCAAGCGCGATACTCATATTTCCAAACATTAATAATGATATAGAGTGGCGTTTCTTCATTTAAAAAGCCATCTGCACAATGTTCTTGTGTAGAGAGATCAATATTATTTTGGATCGGATCGTTTCAGTTGAGTCATGGATTTATTTTGAAAGCAATGACCGGAAGTGTTTTGTTATGTTATCATGTCTAACTTGAGTATCATCTGTGTGTAGTTCCTCGGTGTGACCACTGGAGGGCAGCAAACAACCCCACCAGCATAAAGACAGACAGGATTCAGAAACTGATATTATCAATATGTGTTTTCATATAAAGCTAGAGTTTTGTAATAATGAAAATAATGATAACAAAAAATATTAAAACATTTCAAGAGTTCAATGAGGCATATAAATAAACTGTCAATAATAATAAAATAAGATAACATATTAATAATAAAACATGTTGGAAATAAAACAATGTGCTAGTATTTATAAAAAGTTATTTAAAAGATGTCACAGATTCTATCTCCCTCAGATTTACCTTTAAAAATGAGTTTAAACTAAAGCAGTAGGCATGTAAATATTGAATAAACATTCATATAAACACCATTATCAGTAAGAACAATGTGATTTGTTTTCAATAAAAGGTATTAGTATATGTTTGCTTTGAGTTCTCTGCTTCGAGCCTAACGTCACTAGATTCAGGATACAAACTATTCCTGTGGAAACATTAAATCTGATTTCTGTTCAGTTTGATCCTGATATGATGGTTGATATGACAATAACATTTAAAACAAACAATTTATTTTTTTCAATTTGATCAGAGTAAATGTTGATTTTTTAATGCTGCATTTATTAATCTTTAATACGTGAATGAAAACAGTTTTCATACTGCCAGTGTCACTGAACTCATCATATTAACCACAATGTACTTAAATATATGTCATTGTGTGTGTGTGTGTGTGTGTGTGTGTGTGTGTGTGTGTGTGTGTGTGTGCATTACCATAGCGACATCAGCCTGGAAGATCTGTTTGATGAATTTGTTTTTAGAGGAGTGGACCAGCTGAATGATGTCCCCGTATAAAGTGTCTCTGTTCTTCTCCAGGAAGCCTGCAGGACACACACATTTTTGCATCTGCACTGTGAGCGTGTGTGTGTGTGTGTGTGTGTGTGTGTGTGTCTGTCTGTCTGTCTGTCTGTCTGTCTGTCTGTATGTGTGTGTGTGTGTGTGTGTGTGTGTGTGTGTGTCTGTCTGTATGTGTGTGTGTGTGTGTGTTTCTATGTAACAGATGAACGTGTTGCTTTCACTGACCTCTCGTCTCGTAGTAAACGACACCAGCAAAGTGCTGGATGCCGAACTGCGTCTCGTGTGTGTTCTTCGGAGGGATGTAGTTTGTGTGGAGTTTGTGCTGAAAGTTCAGCTTGTTCAGCATGGTGGTGTCTGTGCCCTGCAGGACGCGCGCACACACACACACACACACACACACGACACACAAACACACACGTGTTTGTTTATTCAAAGGTTCCTATTATTAAAACAGCTATAAGTGATTTTTTTATCCATTAGATTTCAGCAGAAACTGTGGAACAACATCAAAATATATCAGTTAAATTCATATGCTGAACTTGTCAGTAAACAGTTGTTTATTTACACAACCAGCAGAAAAGGAACAGCATGTGTGTGCGTCCACTGTTGGAGGAATATTCACTCTCTTTTAGCTCTGTTGTTCCACCAGCTCGTCTCTCACTGCGTCTGATAGATAAACTCAGATAAACAATGAGCTGAAACTCTGTAAAGCTTCAGAAATCCAGAGGAAGCTTCAGTATCAGTGTAATGCAATATGCACGACTAAATAATCAACAGTCACAGTTAAAACAACACTTCGTGTTTGCTCCAGGTGATGGTGGAATAGGAAGGTTGACCAACAGCAGACGGAGTGGAGACCACCCTCCCTCTGACTCTGCGTACCTTGGGGAACTTGCTCTCCTCGTCGATGAGCGAGATGATGTTCATGGGTTTGATGGCGATCATGTCCAGGGCGTCCTGGTTGTCGGTGAACTCGATGTGCTGCCAGTTGATGTTCTCCAGGTTGTACTCCTCCTGCTCCAGCTTGAAGACGTGACGGACGAAGAACTGCTGCAGGTTCTCGTTGGCGAAGTTGATGCACAGCTGCTCGAAGCTGCAGGAAGGAGGGCGAGACAGAGGAACTGTTTGTACTGACAGCTGAACCGTGGCTGCTCAGAGCTGCAGGAGGTGGAGTAAATAGCTCCATTCATTATATCTCCTGTCTAGAAGAGATGGAAGGAATGTATGGAGCGTGTAACCCTCCACATTTTTAATGAATATGGATGTGTTTGTCGCAGTGTTTGATCTATATTGTTATAATACTAACAATTTGTGATATAATTGAAGTTCAACTCATTAATATGAAATGTGACTTCATTAATTTTCATATTAACTAAATTTGATTGGATATCATTTTTATTTATTTATAGATTTAATTTTGGTCTTTTCCCAGTGATGCTTTTATTTCATAATGTCACTGATGTCCCCGCCCTCACACCCTTTAGCCAACCACATGCCCCCTAAGCAAGCTTACAGAATTAGCCAGTTAGCACCTGTTAGCCACACGTTTGTGTGTGTGTGTGTGTGTGTGTGTGTGTGTGTGTGTGTGTGAGACCTGTTGACAGTGAAGTTCTCGAAGCCGAAGATGTCCAGCAGTCCGATGGAGCGTCTGAGAACTTTGGGCTGTGAGGACGCAGGCTTGTAAATGGCCGCATTGATCTTCTCCACGATCCACACAAACAAACGGCCGTAAATTCTGAAAATTCCCTGACCCACACACCCCCCCCCCCACACACACACACACACACACACACACAGTCAAGTCCCTGTTCAACACTTTAAAGGTCCGCAGTGGAGTTTTTGACCTCTAAGAGGCGCTATGGAGCAGATTTCTTCGCTAGTGACACATTACACATTACTATCTAGGTTTCACACTTATCTACAGTGATGTGTTTAGAAAGAAAGAAAGGCAGGGGAGAAGAAGGAGTAGTAAAAGATGGAACAAGGCAGGATGCAAAAACACAGAAAGATTCATAAGACGGGTTTTGATCATTAAGTGCGGTACCTTAACGAAGGCGTCCCGTACATCCAGAGCTTGTTCCTTGCTGAGTGGGGTGGAGACGGTCTCTCCTCTGGTGATCAGAGTTCGGCTGGTCAGACAGTTCATCAGGTCCTTCCCATCCACCTGAACACAAACACACAAACACAGGAGCTGTTTGTCTGGTGGGTTCACTGAGGTGAAAGGTTTATAATAAAAGGGCCTAAAGGGCTCAGGCCTGAATCAGAGCTCCTGTTTGAAGAGACTGTAATTAATATGTTAATATAATATATTAATGTGTGTGTGTGTGTGTGTGTGTGTGTGTGTTACCTCCAGCAGCGTAGCAGCAGTAGTGAGATTTGGGCTGCGGACAACTTCGCAGGCATCCAGGTTGTCGTAGGTACGAGCTGCAGGGTCAAAGGTCAGCAGAGAGTGAATAAAACAAATAAAAATAGATTTAAAAAAATCTGCTAAAAGAGGTAAAAAAAAAAAACTACAAATCTTTGTGTGGCTCTCAATATGTGAGATATGGGTTTTTGTGTTGTTTGGAAAGTGGGAAACGTACCTAACAAACAAGGATCACATTTGTTGTAAAATGGAGAAATTCCTTCACCAAGAACACTTTTGACTTTACCTTCATATCTGAGGTTTCCCATGTGTAATATAGCAGCCAGCAGCTTAGAAATCTCCCAGTTCTCTTTGTCTGTGAACATTAGAACCTGCAGAACAGAGCAAAGGGAAACTGTAAATCCGGTTTGGCTCAACTTTCAAATACGAGCGGATCTTCTTTTTAGGAGAATTATTTAATCAGTTAAAGACTGTGATAAAGTTACACACACCTTTGCTGAACTATAATCGGTTTTAAAAAGTACCTTCATCGCAGAGCGGATGTTGGAGTACTCCTTCATGTCGTCTCGGCCGTCACACACTGTACACTTCCCCTGCAGGGGACAGAGAGATGGATGGGAAATGGACTCTCCTTACAGTAATAATTTATTAAATAAGAGTATTTTGTCTTTTTGTACTCCAATGAAAGGAGCCCTCGCTGTCTGACTGTAAAAGATGAAAGGTAATAACAAAACATTACAACATTAACAGCTGATGACTCTCAGCCCTGAAACATTTCTCTGATCAGACCCGTATTACAGCTGATGAAATATCTCAACTTCTTATATCGTTATCTCTGTCAGTTATAAAGTTTGTCAGTTTGAACTTTTGAGTCTCGGGGAAAAAAAGAGGTGCCGTTTTTGCAAAGCAACTGAAAGTACATGTGGTTATTCCTGACTTTTAACTGTCCCATCTTATCAGGAATATTCCCATTTTGCTAATCCGGGGTTCAGTATCTTGGAGAGGACAAGGACACTTCGACATGCAGCAGGAGGAGCCAGGGATCGAACCAACAACATCTGATTAGAGGAAGACCCGCTCTACCTCCTGAGCTACAGTTTCTTATGGTACAGCAAACGTCTTTGGGGGATCTGTGAATGTCTTCAGGACAGTGATAAATTTAAGAAATACAAGTTCTGCTCTGTGGCTTAAATGTCCTCTTCACTGGCTGCAAATGTCAAAGTCTCCACAGCTGCACAGCTGCACAGCTAACAGGTTGATAATGACATGACTGGATGAGGATGTTGCTGAAAGCTTACTCACGATGGTCAGGTAGGTGTAGTCGGTGGCCTTGCTCAGCCCCAGTTTCTTCTTCTCATCTACTGTCATGCCCTTCAGCATGCAGTAGAAGATGTGGTAGTTCCTCTCATCATGGGCCTGCAGAGAAAGGCAGGAAAGAAGAAGGAAATGAATGTTTCATAATTTATTTTACATCATTACATCAAATTAAAGATTAAATTCAGCAGCACAGAGACAGGCTGAGAGGTAAGAAAACAGATAAAGAAATATCTGAATGAAATAAAACACAATCATAAATATATGTTAATATTTTTATATTGCATTAAAAAAGCAATGTATATGATTTAAGATATATAATACAATGTAAAATAAAATAGTTGTGTTATTGTTGAGGAAAATATTGATTATTCTTTATTTAAATACTAAACAGCTAAAACTGTAAATAAATGTTGAACAAGTAGAAATACTAGATAGACCTACATGGACCAGACATTTAAACTTGAATTCATTGGTGATTTTAACGCCAGACAACAAACCGAATCAAAGTATTATAGTCCTGGTTAATGATTGATAAAATCCTGAAGGTTTAAACGTACCTGTCGACAGACTCTGGATTTCTCCAGCAGGTATTGCTCTATCTTGGCTCCCTCTATGGCTCCTCTCTTGTTGAAATGGATGTCGATGTATTTCCCAAAACGAGACGAGTTGTCATTGCGGATTGTTTTAGCGTTGCCAAAGGCTGGAAGACAAACAGAAACCAGTAAGGTCATAAGCTACTCATCCTCTATGGGAGATGAAATAGCCAGTTTTTGCACTCTGACTTTAACTGTATCTTTTTATGGAAACTGAAATGTGTGTGTGTGTGTGTGTGTGTGTGTGTGTTCCTACCTTCTAGTATAGGGTTGGCCTCCAGGACCTGCTGTTCTATCCAGGAGTGTTGACCGCTGATGGCTGCCAGGAACTGAAGGATCAGTTTGGTGCTTTCGGTCTTCCCTGCTCCCGACTCACCACTATGAAGTCACACACGAACACAGACACACAGACAGACAAAACACACACACACACACACACACACACACACACACACACACACACACACCTTAATACATAGCTTAAAGTTTGACCTGATGATGGTGCTAGATGAAAAGTTAAGGGATTACAAAAGCACCAAACTGCACAGTGATCCACCCAGTATTCTCCACTCTGTCCTACCTGATGATACAGCACTGGTCACGGTTGTTCCTCTGCATGTTGAAGTAACAGTTGTCAGCAATGGCAAAGATGTGGGGTGGCATTTCTCCAATCTTCTTGTTGGTGTACAGGCGGATCTGGTCGGCTGTGTAGATGGGCAGCAGCTGGTAAGGGTTGACGGCCACCAGGATGGAACCAGTGTATGTCTGCACACAGGGTAGAAGGATTAGGGGCTTTTTAAGGTGGATGTGATGCTGATTATTTGGGACTGAAGCTGCTGTTAGCCCGTTGAAGCAGTTTGAGAGTTTTCATGGATTAGGGTTACTGGACAGAGGTGGAAGACGTATTCAGATCCCTTAAGCTTGGAACAAACCTGAAGAACTGAAACCTACAAAGACTGGACACATAAAGGTTGTTTCGACCAACCTCCACAGATTATTTTTGTCTTCTTAGTTAGGAAGGAGCAGATATTTAATGACTAGTGTTTCTCTACCTTTTCATTTTTTCTGCATTCTATCTAAAATAATAGGCTGTCAATGTACCACCATTATGGCTGATGTTAAAATAGAGTAACGCAAGCCACCCTATTCAGATATGGACAGTTCATGCAGGGTGCAGGTTTATTCCAAATAAGAAGATAATTTATTGTTGACTGTTGTTAAATCCTGAATAGAATTGAAATCCGTTCACGAACCAGAGCTAATTTGGTAGAAAAGAGGTTTCACATTTCTATTCTCAATGTTCCTGTTTGGAGCCACGATTACAGTGTTTTTGAAACATTCATTTTACCTCCATGTACCACTAGAGGAAGCATGCGTTCCACCTGTGGTACACGTTCAATAGTTTGAGAACCGCAAAACCCGCAAAACACACAGAACGAATGATCAGTAACAACTGTTCTGTTCTGATGATACACAAACCAGTAGCAACTCTTCTAGATTCCCCGTACACACTACACAGTGTTAATCTGTATTTTAGATTAGATTGAGATTCTGTGCTGTCTGCCCACACAGCAGCACAGGAGTGAGTTGGGGCCGGTGGAGGGTAGATGAGGTGACACAGGTCTCGTAGCTCAGATGGAACAGGATGACAATGAGAACCTATCAGTGTTCGCCACAGGAGAACAGACGGCCATGTTGAAAACAAATCAACATGCACCCAGGCTGCAGCTGAACTTGGTATACCGCCAAGCCTGAGCGAATCATTCCCATAAAGTGTTTTAACTTGTCCTGCAGAAACATGACACCTCCAAAGCTTCAATGTGTAAGAAAAGGAGCTCTTTTCCCCTCCAGGCTCATTTAGTTTTGGCCTTGAGTCCTGATGACATACTGTACTTTATACAGTATGCACCACACTCAGTGACAGCAGTCATTTATCAGAGAAGGACATGCAGTGTTTGTGCAGAGCAAAATAACATGAAAGATGAGTTTCATTCCATAATGAGTTCATGTTGAATTAATAATTCCTTACAGGCTTTCTTTACAAAATGTACCATTGTATCATTTGTAAATTTATGCAATGAAACCTTTGATTTCTTTTCAAGTTCATGACACAGAAAACAGAAAATCTAACATGAAACATTCACAGTGTGCAACATACATGCAGTTTACTGAATAGGAAATATACTGCTGGTTTTTGAGGCAGTGCAGGTATTAAATACATGTCATAAGTGCATTATTTACAGCTAAGGTCGGATCTCTTTCAAGCCATGCTTGCCGTGCAGGAGCTGACTTACCCTGCCACCACAGTTTGTCTTCAGAGGAAACAGGAAGAGGGAAGGAGGAAGGAGGAAAGCAAGGAAAGCAAGAGAGAGAATGAAGAAGCAAGAAATTGAGATGAGAGCAGAAAAACAGCCAACAGCTGGGGTTGGATTTGTGAGATAATAATGAGGAAGTGTTAGTAAAGACCAAGCTGAGGATTAAGGTTTGGAAAGACTTATTTTGAAAATGCATAGTCAACCAGTAGCTTTGCCCCCCAAGCACTGGTTCCCCTTCCTTGACAGAACGCACTGGTTGCTTAATTAAAACCTTGCAAAAGTTTTTCTCCACCTTTTTGGTTCTTCTTCTAGGGATGTACGCGTTTATATCTGATATAAACTCTGATATGTATGTATGTATGTATGTATGTATGTATGTATGTAAAAAATACATGTAAAAAAAATTTAATAAATAGGAAAAAAAAAATTTTGGGGTCCCCTGTCAACTCTATGGGCTCCACTAATGAGTATAGTCTGTGAGAATCTGTCTTGTATTGAAACAAGAAGGCTTATTGATAAAAAAACACTGGTATACAGTATACCAGCATCAGTGTGCAGCAGTAGTATAAAAACATCCATCGATTCATCCATTATCTATAACTACTTATCCTTTGCAGGGTCACGGGAGTATGAGAACAGTACCACAGTAACACTCACATATATGAGTTTCTCTCTGTATCTGATGAGCAGGTTGCGGAGGATGCCAGCTTCGTTGAGGTCTCCCAGGCGGATCATGTCCTCCACACCGTGGATGGAGGTGGGATGCATTGGCTTAATATTGTTGGCATTCTGGGGGGATATCCAGTGCTCCTGGAGGGTTAAGAGACGTTATGGTGGGTTGTAGAGGAAAACAGAATCACACTCTGTTTATTGGAGTTTTAGGACGAAATTGCTATTGTTAACATTTCTTTTAGTTGGTTACAAAAAAACTTTTTTGATCTGATCTTAAAGGCCTCAATATAATCCCAATAAGTACACATACAGCTATGGACACCACAGCCAAGTAATAACTCTGTCCATACTACTTTCAGTAGTCCGCGGGTGACAACAAATTTGCGGGACACGGACAAAGCACACACAATGAAATTTACATCATATGTCTGGGTAAAGTATAATTCCTGCTTAAGTTAAGAGTAACCCTCACTGCTTTGTGCATCTTGTCAAGTGCTTTAAAATGTAACTCTTGTTCACCAGTTACACACAAGATGAACCCCAAGATGCTCCTGATGGTCAGGCCCAAAGGAATCGTGTTAACCCATGTTTCTATCTATTGGGCCATAGGCACAGAAATGCCATGCATCACAATTTAGGCCTTTTCCCCCAACATGGAGCAATTTTGATTCTAATTCAGAGCATTTAGACCAAAAATAAATTGGTTTGGAACCAAAAAATAGCAGATGCATCCTTCATTATAATGGTTGGGGGCTGGTTCGCTAGATAGCACCATGGTTCCAAGAGTCTTGAGTCAGCACTCACATTTCCTTCATCGTCCACCACCTGGATCTGTCCTGAGTCACAGAGTTTGACCACTGCGCCAACCGGCACCTCAAACTCCCGACCGGTCTTCAGGTCCAACCAGACATAGTCGCCCTGGAAAGAAATCAAGATATAAAACCAAAACCAGGATCAGGATTGGGATCAGAATAATAATTTAATCTTAACACTGTGAGAGAAAGAATCAAAATGTTTAATCAGTAAGAATAACGACGATAATGATAAAGGATAAATGTGATTGTTTAACAAATTTACCATTTAGAGATTGTAATTATAAGATGATCAGACCCATGATTAGAATCCAAATTTCTTTGTTTAAATAATTGAATCATAACCATTTTCACACTGCACCCAGACAAGTCTTAATGCGGTCTGGGGATGTGAACCTTTTTAACCCAAGCCAGACTGTGGGTAAAATACAGCCTCATATCATCTTAATCTACTGTGGGCTGACCTTTACTTGCTTTTTATTAAAGCTGTTACATTAATACTCAGCTGGGTTAGTGCATTAATTCTAGAAATTAAAATAAATGGTGCAGTCTGAAAAGGGTGAAATGAACCCCAGATGATCTCCTGGCAGACACTCCAGCATCTGGAAAGGACAAAATGTGTACCAGGAATTTGTCGAGGTGGATGTGGAGGACATCTAACCAGCAGACATTATGTGGGACAGGAGAGAATGGTTAGTACAGATGGGTCAATGAATGTCAATAGCAGATGTCCACAAATCAGAGGTATTTAAAGTTATACTTTCTTGACATTTTACGTAGGAAATTTTCAGCTCTGTAGTCCTGAAAGGCGTCTGAAATCGTACTTCCTCCTTGAAATCAGTTACAATGGATTCCAACGGCGATACAGAGTCACCACTAGCACCAGTTTGAGCTTCTGTATTACCATTAAATTCAAGTCACAGTCTGCCAGTTTTCGAAAAACCCAGATGATGGAATGTGAGAGTGTTTGAGGATAGTTGAAATAACACCTTCATTACTTTTCAGAAAATCTGAAGTTTAGCTCTGTGATTGACTGTGACTTGAATGTTGTAATGCATCAGTGGTACAGAGTGGGGCTAAGTCACTACAAGGTATCAAAATAAAGTAAAAGGTACAACATGTATTTCTTAATTGTAGCAGAGTTGAGAGGAGGTCCAGTTTGAATAGCTGATCTATGAGTTTGAAGACTTATCAGATGCCCAAACACTGCATGAAGTTTTATAACTAGGTTCGGGAACCCTTAATCCCTCAACCCTCATCCCCTCTTCCCTTCACCCCTGAAACCTTCATCCTTTCATCCCTTCAGGCTTCAACCCTGGACTCCTACCCCTCATCCCCTTATCCCTTCATCCCTCAACCCTTTTCCAATCCATTCATCCCTCCTACAGCACACCACACGGTTTACATTTATCCAATATGTGCAATAAACCTTTCCAATTCCATACATTCATTGGCGGGATCTTTGTTAATGAAACATTGGTTTATAACACTGAGGCAGGATTTTATTACTCATTAGTACTCAGTACAAAATAATCAAGGCTATTGATCATGTCAATAAGCTCTTGATAAGAAGGCGAACAAATACATTTCCTAAAATATCAAACCATTCATTCAGGGTAGAAGCCAAATAATTTCTATGATGTACAAGCACTGTAACTACTGCACTGAAGATGTCTGTGGTTACTCACAAACATGGCCACAAATTGTTGCCTTTGTGCAACTGTTTTTAATAACATTCAACAAGGCACACACACACACACACACACACACACACACACACACACACACACACACACACACACACACACACACAACTCAAAGGTACGTTAAAAACTTAAACACAGTTTTCAGATATACAATAATGATTCATGGATCAAAACATTCAAAACAGAGAACCGCATTCTTGTGATTCATGCATAATTATCTTAACACACAGTTATGCAATATTAGAAAATGCTGCATCTCTCTCTCACACTCTCTCTCTCTTTCTCTCTCTCTCACACACACACACACACACACACACACACACACACACACACACACACACACACACACACACACACACAAGCACACAGGTATCCTAACAAGGCCACACAGAAGTATAATTAATACTTGATGCATGAAACAAGGGAAAACACACGTATCTTACACAACACAAAACCCACAGAATAAAGACATATAATTATGACTCATGAAACACACACAGTTGCGTACCGGCAGCAGTGTGCTGTTTTTCATCACAGTGTTGACGTTGCGTAGCAGTGCCCATTTGGCCAGATCCTTCTCGTAGAGTTCCACATACTCCCGACGCTTGTACATCTTCACGTGCACAGTATAAACTCACACGCACTCTAGCAATGATATCTGATGAATTGTATTCCACAGAAGAGAACAAAAGTATCCACAAGTCCAGGTTTCAGCTTTCTCTGTATCGTCCTTATTCACACGAGTGGACAATTTCCAAAAATCCACATAAAATATCAAACTAAGACCTAAGGTTAGGCCCCCAGGACAACCCATATACAGTCGCCATCATAAAAACAATGAGATGTTCAAATTCTTCATGGTTCAACAGGTTCTATTAATCATGGTCACATGTCACCTCCATTTCTCTCCCCTGGGTTCATCTAAAAAATGCTGAAATGCCCTTTAAGTGACATCAAAAAATGATGTCAAGAAAAACAGACATCCTATAGTCTAACAGGGTCAAACATCCTGGTTTGTAAGTCCCATCTTTCTATATTTCTTCCCCACTCACTAAAATCACTTTAAAACTATCTGATAAAATCCAGCCTTCGACTAATTCTCACATCACTTTAAACTTTCCACTGCAGTAACATTTTGGGACAATCCTCCTGCTCTCTCTCCCTCTCTCTCTTTCACACTGACACTTTGTTAACCCAGCCCCCCACAACCTCCACTGTCTCCCATGGCAACAAGATGTCACTTCCTCCTCAGGTGTGTCCTATGGTGTTGGATTTCTGTATAGATAAATACACTACAGGCTTTTACCGCAATGTAAATGCTGCAGTTTAATGCAAAATAAACTCTGTGTCCTTACTGAGAAACATTAAGGACAATAATAGAACGACTAATAATGGTGATATAATAAAGTTCACAAAAATGTGAGTAGTTACTAAAAAACACTAGTTAAGGGACGATTCAGGAACAACCTGATAATTAATACATTTTTAATGAGTAGTTCCTGAATTGAGGACTTTACAGAAGCTTACAGAATGATGAGTTTAAACATCATGAGTATAAACTGAGAGATAATATAATTCATGATTAGGTCATGATTAGTTCATAAATATTTGTGAATTAGAAACTGGTGTTGGGAACTGTTTGAAAAAGGGCAGGCACTTTCAAAAAATACTCAGCAAGCAATTGGATGAACTTTTGTCTATCACATGCTAGCAGCATCTATGCTGACCTAAGGTGCCATTATTTAATGAACAGTGTCCTCCTGAACATCCTCAAAGGACACTGATTGATTTGGTACCACTGTATCGAAGCCTGGCAAGAAGGATTCTCATGTCATCTTGCATGTCCAGCCGAAGGCTGTGTTGACCTGTTCATTCACCTTGACCTCCTCTGTTTAGTGGCGTTAAGAAAGGTCACTCTACCTGAAGTGACGTACCACTACCCTGAAGCCTTTGCCAGGTAATGTAAATGTTTTTGTTTTGCGGCATTAGAAGAAAGGACAAATGCTGTCATGTTATCTTGTAAACAGTCTGCTGATATACCATCCTTAGGCGAAAGCCAAAGAAGGGGTTAAAAATGAACCCTCTTACAAAGCCTAGAATTACAAAACCAAACATATAAAATGTCTGAGGAGGAGCTGCTTTCAATCCAAACAGGAAGATTACCCACATTTAATGTAGCGCCATCATCTGGCAAAAACATAATTTTGTCCCATATTTAGTTTTTTGACTAAATACCTACAAAACTCACAACATTCCCATCAGCCTCAGCTGACTTTAGTGCTAATTAGCAAATGTTAAAAATTAAACCTGCCTAACATCAGTATGCTACCATTGTCTTGACTGTCTTTTCCTTTTCTTTCCTCCCTCCTCTGTAAGCAGAGAGAAAGATGGGAAGAAGAGTGTAGCATGAGATGTGCTTTGGTGACTCGTGGGTGTGATGTTAGTGTGATGAATGGCTCTTTGAGTGTGTGTTACATACGTATATGTCAGTTTAATTAAGTAAATACTCGTCTGGCAAACTGAGCCACCTGAACATTACACCACCAAGCACCTGTTACATACACACACACACACACACACACACACACACACACACACACACACACACACACACACACACACACACACACAGACACAGTAAGCCAATGGCAAACTATCAGAAGCCACATGTTGAATTATTTAACACAGAGGATCTGTTTGGTGTCTGTCTCCACTTTTATATTTCTTTTTCTGTGTGTCTGTCTTTCTTTCCCTTCATCTCTTTCTCCCTTCCATCATCCATACATTTCCCTTTTTTGCTGTAATTTTTTATCAGAAAGCTGTCTGTTACAGTGACGTGCAGACCGATAGAATTCAGATGAGCTTGGAAACTGATCAGGTTATGGAGACAAAGCTGAAGTCAAAGTGCTTTTCCACTGATGATTTTGTTTGTCACCTGACTACGTGATGTAAAGAGCTGACACTATACAAGTACAAACGAATTTTCCTCATTGACAGAAACTTGTTTTAATTCACAGGCCTTTAGAGGCTTTTTACAGAAGTCATTTAAAGATCAATAAAACAGACACTACAACAAATGGAGACAGAAATTATAATTCAGTTGTAGAGTAACTCTTTTTACAGCATACAGCCTTAGTATGTGTTAAAAACTAAAATATTCTTCTCTTTATTTCCCTATATAGCAGTTATATCTGATACACAGGACAGATTTGGAGCACAGGACTTCCACTATGGCTACTACGATACTCTCACACACACCATGGTTTGGACAAACATGACAGACACAAGCCACAGTGCTGGTGTGGTGTTAACAAGGCAACAGTGATGTTATGTCCATGCTGCTCGCACTGGATGGGTTTGTGTTCTCATCATCTCTTTCTTCAGGTAAATAATTCAGGCCAGACATGAGCCGGGTATTCACTTACGCCTGCTAATGTCACTACTGTGTGGAAAGATAACAAACCACACAGAGGACAGATAGAAGAAGAGCCTAATGGCGCCAAGCATGAACCACATCGTTGCTGGTTTGATTCCAACTGGGCATATTTGTTGCATGTCTTTCCCATCGCTCTCCCTAATTTTGTGTCATCTCTGTTTATTATTATCAAATAAAGGCATAAAAGATGATTATATAAAAGAGCCTTCAAAAATGAGAAGGTACAAAACCAGCTAGTCTTTAAAATGTCTTCTTTAATAGTGTTTTTTAGTTTCTGTGGCTATCACTGCTCTCGCTAAATACTCAGTTTTCTGTTTCTTCCAATTAAACTGTAAACTGTAAACTGCCTACATACTGAGATTTTCCAGAAAAAGCTGTGTTTCACAGCACTGAGTCTACAGATAAATGACTGTTTGGAGGCCTCTAAAATGTCACCAAAACAGTGAATAACAATCTGGTAAATGGGTATTGAATAACTTGTGGTAGTTAGCTATTTACACATTCAGCAGGTGGACTCTTGGAGATAGTAAGTCTAATATTCAATGATCCTTTGTTAATGTAAAAATGTTTATTATAGCCACTTTAAAGACGCATTTTGCAAGCACAAGATATTATCAATAGATTATATCAGGATATTGTTAAGGATAAGTTATTATCTGTTATGTTTATTTTTCCGGACTTTGAGGGCTTTGAGGGACACACAAATGGACATTCATGATTTCAAAACATGTGCAATCATAGACTGATTTGATTTTAACAAAATTCTCATGGTGTTTATTGTGTGTGTGTGTGTGTGTGTGTGTGTGTGTGTGTGTGTGTGTGTGTGTGTGTGTGTGTGTTGTGTGTTAATTATTTTAGAGTTAGGAGCGTTTTAAGGCACAAGACAGCTATTAAGAGTCCATAAGCTTAAGAAAGGCACTTGCATTTGCATTTAGATAGATCATTTCAATAAGTTAAAGGTCACAGGGTGAGATATAGCTACAAGGTAATTGTGCTGGCATTTGTCACTGAATAAACTCGTCCATAAAAGCACAGACAGACCGGCTCTCCTTTCTGCTTCAGTGGACAATCAACATTAAGATTTTGTCTCTATTCTGGCTCCACAAAGACAGCAAAGAACAAAGCAACTACGCACAGCAAGTAACAGTGGTGGAAGAAGAATTCAGATCTTTCACTCATGTACAAGTGTCATTATATTATATTATACTATAATATAATGACACTATTGCAAGTCATTCCAAATCATTCTCATGTAAAATACAGAAAAACTGTCAGAAAAATGTGCTTAAAGTATCAAAAGTACTTATGTTGCAGAATGACTCCTTTCAGAGTGGTACAACTGTATATTACAGCATCGGAAAATGATTACTGGTTATTGTTATTTATAATAAAAAGGGCTCAGCAAGATTTAATGTGACCATTACATGTGTGAGTTTTTACTAATGTAAGCCCAGTGGTTCAGAACACAATTCATTATATTGAAAATCAATTCAATTATTTCTAATGTGATTTTGCATACATTTGCTATATCATGAGATATATTTGGAAAATATGTTTATTTCAGCCATATCACCATGCTGTACTGATACTACTACGGCTAACTCTTCTTACACTGCTGTAGGAAATGTACTTTAAACTAACAAATGCACACTGTGTACACTGCACACTACACAACATCTGTGTGCAGGTGAGACGTCTTCAGCAGGTATGAGTCTGCCCTCTGCTGGTGTTCATGCTTACCAGTTTGAAAACAGTGCTTTGCAGTTACTCAAGAAGCAGGCATACTAAAATAAAGTACAAGTACCTCAGAATTGTACTTAAGAACATTCACTGACTAAAGCTACTTAGTTACTTTCCTCAAAGTCAAAGGTTGCCCTTAGGCCATAATATTTTCATTGTGGTTGTCCAGTAAATGAGAGAGAGAGAGAGAGAGAGAGAGAGAGAGAGAGAGAGAGAGAGAGAGAGAGAGAGAGAGAGAGAGCTGCTGAATGAATGAATGAATGAATGAATGAATGAATGAATGAATACCAGTGGAATTTAACGCAGCACTGAGCACAGTAGAGACAGAAAACAACCACTAAAAGAAGCAGATAAACAACAGACAAACAGGCTTTCAGGGACACTTTGTGGGAACATAAAAGTGATCATTTCTAAACTAATTGAACAGACAGGACAGTAATATAAAAATCTGCAGTAAATATGCAACAAAAGAAAGGATCTGAGTACTATGCAGATTTTCTCCTGAAGGGATCATGTGGCTGGTCAAGAAGTCATTGATCTTTATATTTATTATAATATTTTTGTATTTGTTTATTTTTTAATGTAACCTTTATATAGGTAGAT